CGGAGTCAATGGAAGGGGACCATAAAGATCTATTTCGGCCCGTTCGAAGGGTCGGGAATGGCATGGTAAGGCTGCAGTTCACCGGCGGAGGCGTGGAGCGGAGATTTTTGGTGCTGACATTCGGCACAAGAGTGGATGAAGTTGCGGACGAAGGTATACATACCACGCCAGTAGTAACAGTGTCGAAGCCTTTTGTAGGTCTTGAAGACTCCTGCGTGGCCACATTGTGGGTCAGCGTGGAAAGAGGAACAGATCTGCGACCTCAGGGTTCGTGGAACGATGAGCAGCCACTTGCGTCCCTCTGGTGCGTAGTTGCGTCGATAGAAAAGCGTGTCACGTACCAAGAAGTGTGGAACTTGGCGCCGGAGCGTTCGCGTCTTTGGGAGTTTAGAAGTGTCGGAGAGATGATTGAGAAAAGACCCAGTCCACGGGTCATTGCGTTGTTTGATAGCAATGGTGTCAAAGTCAAGAGATGACAATGTGTGATCGCAAGCGGAGTCAGCTGTGGCATTCTGAGAAAGGGGGAACGGGAAAGGACGTCGGCGTCAGCAAGCTTCTGTCCTGACTGATAAACCACGTGTATGTCATAATCTTGGATTTTCAACGCCCAGCAAGCGAGGCGGCCAGATGGGTCTTCTAACGTCGAAAGCCTGCACAGCGCATGGTGGTCGGTTACGACGTCAAAAGAATGGCCATATAGATATGGGCAAAACTTTCCAAGGGCCCACACAATGGGCAAACACTCCCTTTCTGTGACGCTGTAGTTGCTCTCTACCTTGGTGAGTGTGCGACTAGCGTATGCCACGACGTATTCCGTATGCTCCGGTTTACGCTGTGCGAGCACAGCACCAAGGCCTACACCACTGGCGTCGGTGTGGATTTCAGTTGGAGCTTCAGGATTGAAATGGCGTAGAATGGGTGGCGTCGTGAGAAGCCGTCGCAAGGTGGTAAAAGCCTCGTTGCAGGTAGGGGACTACGATGATAGGTCTTACAGTTGCCGAGGAGTTGCGTGAGAGGTGATATAATAGACACAAAGTTTCGGATGAATCGCCGAAAATACGAACACAAGCCAATAAAGCTCCGAAGTTCTTGATAGTGGCAGGTTTAGGAAACGCCGTAACAGCTCGCAATTTCTCGGGATTCGGGAGGATGCCTTTCTTGAAAACAACGTGGCCCAAAATGTTCAGTTGACGCATGGAAAATTGACATGTTTAAAGTCTTAATTGCAAACCGGCGTTGGTCAAGCAAGTGAGGACATGCTGAAGGCGACGTAAGTGTGTGTCGAAGTTAGGGGCGAAGACCACAATATCATCGTTGTAACACAAGCAGATCTTCCATTTTAGTCCACGCAGGATGTTGTCCATCATTCGTTCGAATGTTGCAGGCGCGTTGCAAAGTTCGAAGGCATTACGGTGAATTCATATAAGCCGTCTGGCGTCACAAAAGCGGTTTTTGGGGCGATCGGCCTCTGCCATGGGCACCTGCCAGTAGCCTGACCGCAAGTCTAACGAGGAAAAGAACTCTGAACCCAATAAACAGTCCAAAGCATCGTCAATGCACGGCAGTGGATAGACATCCTTCAGCGTGATCTTGTTCAATCGCCGGAAATTTACACAGAAACGAATAGAACCGTCTTTATTTTTGACGAGAACCACCGGAGATACCCATGGGCTCTGTGAAGGTCGAATAACGTCTCTGCGAAGCATGTCGTCTACTTGGTCAGCAATGACCTGGCGTTCTGTAGCGGACACGCGATATGGTCGTTGTTGCAGCGGTGAATGAGACCCAGTGTCGATGTGGTGTTCTACTGCTAAGGCACGGCCGAGAGATGTTTGTGCAACGTCAAAAGAATGGCGATAGCACTCAAAGATGATGAGGAGCTGTGAACGCTGCCAAGATGTCAAATTTTCAGCGATGAATGGTTGAAATATGTCCGCCGACATTGGGTCAGCCGCGGAGACGACAGCCAGTTCACAGACGGAGGTAGAAGGCACCTCATAGGGGATGGATATAATTCTGTTAGAACTGATTGTCTCGACATGGCCAAGGCACTCGTGACAAAGTAGGGATAAAGGCGATAACTCATGATTATAAATTGGCATTGTTGTTGAGCCTTCTACAAGGTCGAGAGCAGCAAAAGGCAGTGGGAGGGCTCTTCCGGCGACGAATATTGGAGATGGTGTGAAGAAGACCGTGCCGTCGAATATGGCGCTACATGAAACTGGTACGAACACAAAAGAGCATGGAGAGATGTATGTGTCATCATTAACGACAAGTTTAGCGGCAGACTGGGTGTCGACGAATGCTCGGTCATCCAGAGAGCAAAATTCAATCTCAGCCCGAGCACAGTCGATTACAGCGTTATGACGCGACAAAAAGTCCCATCCCAAGATAATACTATGGGAACACGATGAAAGAACAATGAACTCATTCGTATACAGAACATCCTGAATTGTTACGCGAGCTGTACATACTGCGGTCGGTTGAACAGGTTGAGCACTGGCTGTGCGAAGCGATAATCCGGAGAAAGGCGTCGTAACCTTACGAATTGAGTGGCAAAATCCAGCATCGATAACAGAAACAGCTGCACCGGTATCTACAAGTGCGAAAGTAGGGATATTTTCGACGAACACATCAATAACATTGGTAGGTGACGAATGAGGACTTGGGCAAACCGAAACTTGCGCAACTCTTGCCTCAAGAACTGCTTCGTCTAGTTTTCCTCCTCGTTAGGCGCGGGCCGTCGAAGCATAGGAGAAGGCGAGCGGCGGCGTGGAGAGGGTAAGCGAAGACGACCCGACCGAGGGCGGTGGTCGTCCTGGTAGCAAGCTGGCATTGGAGTGGAGGAACCGTAATGCGCTTTGGAGTGAAGCGGGAAGAAGGGCTCACGGCGGTTTTCATCGGTGATATGCATCTGGTGGCGGCAATACCTTGCGACATGTCCGGGGTATCGACATACGTAACATATCGGGAGATTGTCGAGGGTGCACCACGGGTTGGCGGTGTTAGTGCTGGTCCAGTGGACTGGAGGTGGGGGATGGCTCGCACGAGGCTGGAATAGAGGTGCAGGCGCCTTGCGAGTTGGCATGGCTGCAGCCGCGCCGTAGACGGGTGGAGCAGCCACAAGATTATGCTCACGGGCAGCTCGTAGGGCCTCGGCGACCTCTCCATGAATGACGCAACGGAGAGGCGATGGTAAAGTTGTGGTAGGTTCTGGTGTGAAGGGCACCAAGGAAAGCTGTCGTGTGACTTCTTCGTGGACAAATGATTTTATTTCGGCTATAAGCGACGCTTGGTCATGGCGACGCTTGGTCATGACCATTGGTCACACTAGACAGTGATGCCAAATCGTGCGCTGGAGGATGTCTTGTCAGAGCTCGCTGCTTCCGCAATTCATCGTAGCTTTGGCACAAGCTAATTACGTCGTTAACTGTGGACAAGCTTTTTGCCAAGAGCATTTGAAAAGGGTCGTCGTTAATCCTCTTCAGGATGTGCTTACATTTTTCAGCTTCCGTCAATGCGGCGTTCACGAGTCTGCACAATCGACGACGTCTTCTATGTAACTCGTGAAAGTTTCACCCTTTTCTTGTGCGCGTAAACGCTGCTTGGCATGAAGTTTTCGGACGGCAGGTCGATCGAAGACTGCTACAATCGACGTTTTGAATTGCGGCCACATTTGGATGCCTTTCTCGTGGTTTCTAAGCCAAAGGCTGGCTACACCCGCGAGGTATAACGACACGCGTGTCAACTTGTCCGCGTCCGTCCATCTGTTCAAAGCGCTCACCGTTCGAAAGTCGAGAGCCAATCTTCAACATTGTTGTCATCTGTTCCGCTGAAAATTGAAGGCTCTCGCTGAGGAACACTGCCTGGACAGGTGGCCGGAGGAGATGGAAGCGTCTGCTGAGCAGTGTCCGGCATAGCAGAAGGTAGCCGTCGAGAACGGAGTTCCAGGATGGTAGCGGGAAGGTATAGGGGACGGTACTCGGCACGGCTCCACCAAATATAAAGGAGATTTATTAAGCGGAAAGGTTGTTGCTAGTCTGGCGATGCACCAGCCGCAGTTCACGAGCTCGAGCCTCTGCTGCAAGCTCGATGCTGCTGCCTCTGCGCCGGAGTACTTCCTCTTCTTTACAATAGTAAATACTTAAGTGTCACAATTACAAACCGTTAAACATGGTCAAGTCACATTAATAAAATATGCTCATCTGCTTCTAGAAAGCTTGGTTGTTTTAGACATAAATTAAAAACAGCAACCTAAAAATCAAACTGTTGGCTTACAATGCTTTTATAGGACCGAAGTTGGACTATAGTAGTGTTGTTTGGGACCCACATCTAAAGAAAGATATAAGGATACTTGAGATGGTGCAGCTCAAGGCAGTTTTGCTTTATCTTTAATGCTTGCCACAGATATGACTCACCAACAATGATCATGACCATTAATAGCATCTCTACTTCACAGTACCGAAGGGCAGTTCCCCGTCTGAAATTTCTACACTCGCTTTATTTTCGTAAATTTAGCATTTGTCCAGAAACTTACATAAGAAATTGAATTTCAAGACAAACTAGGCATACACATGCTTACACTCTTGAACCTTACTTCGCAGGTACAAATCCTTTCATGAATTCTTTCTTTCCTCGGACCACCAATCAGTTGAACACGTTACCTTTTGAAGCATTCTGTGATGATGATAATCTGGTTGTTGATAACTATGTATCATTCTCTTCTTAACAATACAACACAAGCTCTCAACTGTCTTACAGTGAACTTGATTTACATTCTGTAGTTGCGATTTACGTGACCTTGCTGTCATCTCAATTCATTTATATTTATGTTCTGCGTTCAACTGCCTTATCACGTTATTATTGCTTGAAATTTCTTTGTATTACTGTTAAACTGTGAATTAAATTTTATTATGCCCCCCTGCTTGGTCTTTCGACCGCAGTATATTGTAAATAAAAATAAATAAAATAAGATGATATTATTGCGTGTCATAAGGGTATTTTGGTGTCGCATTCAATTTATTTAAAAATAGCTTGACTGTACTGCCACAAGTTAAGCACCAAGTATAGGACATTATTATGCTTTGCAATAATCCCACAATATGCTCTCTGCACGCAATAGAAATGCTACTATTTTAAGTGCTTCTTGATGGCTTAGTTATAAGAGTATAGTATAGTACTGGCATCATCAGACACAAGTTCCAGGTTTAAGCAGCATTACACACATGCACCATGTGACCTTACAACAGGTAAAGTGTCGTTTGACCACCTATTTTGGCACAAACACTTAATTTCTAGGGAAACATCAGTAAAAGTGTAGCACGTTAAGCAGGATCAAAAATTATTTAAAAGCTGCTTTCAAGACCAGTTGCAGTCCCTTTATGTACCTGCAGTGTTAAATATGGCACCGTTTATGATTAAAATCAGTAACTGAGTTTTTGTTTTCTTCCAGTAGACCTCACATGAATCCTTGACATATGTTTTGAGGCTGTTTGGGGGATGAAAGTTTCAATGATTGCATTGGTAATCTCTGGCTGATCTGCGCAGTCCAGTCATAAAAAGTATCTAAGGAAACTTGACAGTGAACAAGTGCACAGATATTGGGTGAAACTAATGGCATCAATATTGTAGATACTGGAGACATTAATAAAGAACATGAGTGCAGGAAAAACACTGAGATAAAAGCTATCCGGGACCTTCAACCAGATACAGCAACACAAAAATCACAATGAAAAAAAAACATTACGTCACACATTTTTTGTTTTACTTCTTGCAGTGCCTGACTGCTTTTAGAAAGCTGCCCAGATGGGTACACTGATTAGATTAGAAAAAAAAAGCTGACTAGAGGTATGTCAAGACTTGTAAGGACAACACATCACAACTAGAGTATAATATGGCTGTCGTACTTCACAAGCGGAAACAAGCCATTCAAGACATTCTAATATGGCTTGCTTCTCACAAGTTTCACAAAGTTGAAAAAAAAAAAGTAAAATGTAACTGTGCTTTTGAAGCTCTCAATCTAGTAAAGAAAAAAAAATGAAAACAATAAGCTGCTTATTATATGCCTAGCACAAATGCAACCCAAACATGAGAAAAAAAAATCCACAGGTAATAACAGCACTGAACTAAAAGAAATTGCCTCTACAACAGCATAGTTTCAGTACTATCACTGACAGCACGTAATTCCAGCAGAACCTCATCGTACAAGCTTGAAGAAAACGAATAGATCAAAATATATTTATACACAACACACAACAAATACACATGTAGACGGGAGAGACAGACAGAAAGAGCTTGGCTATTGCTAATTGCACTGTTATCTTCTAATACCTTTGGACTCATTTACGGTTACCACAAGCAAACTTACATCTGAAAGTGTTTACTCAATGGTCTCCTTGACAGCATTTCTTGCGCATAAACAATGAGAAAGTGAACAGCAAGAATTCCTTGCTCAATGCATCGTGTGAACTTACGTTATGATATAAATTGGTTCAGCACTTTTGGTTTAAACCAGGGGTCAACAACACGCGACCCACAGCACAGTATTATGCGGCCGCCGACAGGATATCAGATCCGCCTCCCTCACTTTATGTAACCGATGAAACCTCCACGAATTTTTCAGTATGTCAGTGAGCAACCTTGATGTAGACATCTTTGCGAGGTGACTAAGAATGTTGAGCACCGAAATTTGCATAGAAATAGACCTTTTTATTCTATTTTATGTTGATAAACTGCAACCTCATGACAATCGTGATGATTAAACCAAAGAAGGAGAAAAAAGTGCCAGCTATGTCAATATTTTTTTTAGAAATTCTGCTATAATTCCAAACTATCAATGAGAACAAAATTATTTCAGAAATAGCACTCAGTGTTGTGCCTACACTGTATTATATTTAACATTTCGTGTCTGCAGATGCATAGTGCTGGAAAGTCTGGTTCTGTCTATGCTCAAATATGAGAATTCCTTAGCTAATTCATTGCCACATCACCACATGATACTGCACACCTCCCTACAAATGGCTTCTTGTATACTTCGGTATTCCATGTGTTAGATGCAACCACTGTTGAGCAACATGCTACCCTTAGGTAGAAGGCTAGCAAGTGCATGAGTACAAAGTTATTTACTTTTTCTATAGCCTCACACAACACCAGAGAGTTCATGCTGCTGTGCAAATAAAAATAATTATGATTTTTGCTATTATTATAATTATATTTTTTATTATTATGCACAATCACACAACATATTCGGTATCAACTAGTACACTAGACTTTCAAACACGTACACTGACACAGAAAAGAAGGCAAGCCTGATGCAAAAAACTTACTGCCGAAGAAGAGCCTATGAAAGATAGTTTATAAATGTACAGTGAAACATTCTGAGTTTTTATGCAAAACTAGAAATTTCAAGAAGTGTACCATATTTTGGAAAAAATAAATACCAAAGGCACTGTAACCTGGATATACACAGTTATGAATCACAATATAGTATTTCACTACCTTGAAAATTTTGTCGAAACTCGATTGAATGAAATCCGATTTTACGAAGTTTGCGATCTAATAAAAAAATTTCCATTTCCTGGCAAACACCCATAGGGTACAGTGTTGCCATCAACTGTAAGTAACCAACTAATTTGGCCACTAAAAACTCAATTCACTAAAGCTTTTCCTGAAACAATAGCATTAAGAAAGAGTAGTTTTTTTTATTTTGGCAGAGATGGGCTTTTCTTTGAGCATGCACTCTAATGCTGCCACATTTAAACATCTAGGTGCCATAGTTATGACCCTAGTGTTGCTTTCACGAGGCTGTAAGGTGTGCCAATGCATGGAACAACGGACTTGGCAGCCAGTAGCATTCTTTCGTACAATATGGTGCTAGAGGCAACAGTGATTGCTTTGGTTATTTCATAGTTCATGCGATGAATACCACTGATTATCACCTTCTACCTTTTTTTTCTTGTCTAGCTGACACAGTCACTGCATGTGTTCACTACATCATGGCATAACAGAAGTGGTCATAGGTGGCAGCTATGAGACCAGCTACCTGGCCTGCACGGCAGCGGCATGGTGTCCTTTATGTCAGGATCACCATTGGGCTGCCTGCCCTCAGGCTGCCCTCGCGAACTTTTCAGATATGCAGGCATGAGTTTCTAACAAAAACAATGCATTGGTACCTGTTGGGTGCTGCTGTGTAACAATTTTAGATATCGAAAAATTGAAAATTTCCTTTCCCAATTTTATGAAACTCTCGATTTAATCAAATTTTAGTATATATACTATTTAATTAGATTGAATTTTAACTGTATATATAAGACTGTGCCGCCATTACTGAGTTTCTACAAATAATAAGTCAAAACAGGACTACATATGACACTTAAAGTAATTGCTGAAAGCCTGGTCGCCTCATGTAGCGAAGTTCTATTTACGTGTGAGACCCAAACACACAAAAAATTCTCAACTTCTACAATGGATAAAGCTTGAAATTGTGAAAGAAATCATGAAAGATACATAAGAAAAGCTGTGTAACTCTTGTGAAACTGTTATGTGAGCATTACCTTTTTGATATTCCCCTTTAGGTAAACACATGAGAACCCCACTACTAATATGTTTCTTAGAGAACCACAAAGAAAACTGCACTTAACAGGAAAATGTAACATCTAGTCATGTTTGTGGCAGTGCTAAGGCAAGCTTCTTTCACATCAAATTCTACTTGAAGATGGATAGAAAAAGAATTAATTCTTCAAAACCAGTTAAATAATGGTTGGCATAATTGTCTGGTAGTTAAACCAAACATTAAACACATTTAAAATGGTCGCAGGTATGAATCACACTAACTTCAATTTTTTAGTTTTTTTCTGCTTCGGTCAAATATTAGCCAACAGCAGCCCTTTCTACAAGTATTTGCAGCTTTTTCTCAGTTTCTGAACAGCTAGATACATTAAACCAAGAGCAAAGGCGGGTATCTAAGATTATGACTAAATCCATTAACCTTGTTTAAAGTGACTGCTTGTTTCTTCATTCATTTTCTCTTCACATTGATGTTGTGGGCAGAGGCAACAATGTGCAAAACGCTCCGTAACTCTAATGTCTTGGGGTCACGACAATAAAAAGCATAATCAAGATAGATCATGCGAGCCCTTGTTCATTCCACAGCTTGCTCATTATACGTACTGATGTTATGTTGGTGGTGTGTCACTGCTGTTTTTGAATGTAACAACTGGAAAGAGAAACCAAAAATTGAAAGCCATGTATCCAGATAACTCTTCGTGAAGCAAACAGGAACGACATCTCAGAGCATAGGAGCTGGAAAAACATAACAAACAAGTATGTATCAATGAGGTTCTGCTGTGCACATGCTGCTGTACAGAACTGTGGGACACAGTGCCACGATTATCTAGTACGTTACAGGTGACAAGGTTTACATTTTGAAACAGTTAAAATCCTCAAAAGATTGAGCTCTGCGGTATTTGCATTCCTCCCCACTAGCCATGTCGCTTGCTCAAATATTGTGCAAATCGTATTTTGCTACAGAATAAGAAGTGAATTCAAGTCAACTAAACAAAAAAAGACGTAGCATCAAAGGTAATGACAAACCAGCACAATCAAACAAGGAGAAGCGGTGAGGCATGTGGCTTGTGTAGGTCAATGTGAGAAACTTGAAAACACTGGGCAATGTCTGCACATATAACTGGAATACAAATGAGCATGACCACCATGCTGCTTGACAAGACAATTTGCGATGCCACGACAAGTGACATCTGGCATTACGCTTCATAACTTTTGAGAGTTTATATCAATTGAAACAGCTGCGCATGGCGATTTTCCCTCCGCTCGAGTCCATATAGATCCTATAAGTTCGTTGTGTCTGGGGGCTGAATAGATCAATGACAGGTGGAAAATTTTCTTCTCTGTACTAAACTGCATCAGTCCAAAATGTTAATAGAAAAATCCTCCTCCACCATGCCATAAACACACATTCACATGGCAAAGCACAAAATGCTCATGATCTGCTGTGCAGTCTAAAACAAGCACTGCCCTTAAAATGTTCTTGGCAGTGGTGGATGCATGATCAGAACTGATGTCACGAGCAACCTGTCGATTGGAACATCATGACCAATCATCAGCGCAGTCCCTAGAGCACCTAAGTGTGAAGGCTATACATATATGCAGCCTTGAATGCTGCAGCTAGACTGCTTTTCAGAATACGGACCATATTCTAGTAAGTGAATGCAGCCTCTGCACTTCGTGATCTCAGCTCTGTCAATGCGACAGTGCACTAAATAGTCACACCATAAACACATACAGTTTCTAGGCTCTAGGTCTTATTTACTGAGGTCTTAAATCTTACTTTGGCATAGCCTTCCTACTTTTTAAAAATATTCTGATTGATTAACTATAGAATTAAATATCATTTGACATTCTGTGATGTGCTTGAAAAAATGGCTGTCTGAAACTAGAGTTGATGAAGCTGTTGCTTGACATTTTTGCGGCTTCATTTTATCACCTCGAACACATTCTACCACACCCAATGCAGCACATACCGTGCCCACAATACTCTGCAAGTTGGCATGGTCACACTACATCTTAATTTGCATAATTGCTACACTGCTTTACCTGTAAACACAGTTAGCTATCCTCTCTAATTACCTCCCAATGCTGGCTTGGATTAGAAGCAAAAAAGTTGGCAAAAGTATGCAGTGGTCTGAAATGAAAAAAAAAAAAAAAGGCAACTACTTATCAGTATTACTAGGCCAATTGAAGCATGTCTCTCTAGTAGCACTAAAATTTAGCCCAATAAAGTTTAGATCATTGCGATTCCAGAATTGTTGGCAATTTATAAAACACATAAGCACATATAAAAGGCTAAGAGAGTTGTTCTTTGCACAACAGCACATAGTGGTATAAAAGTTCATGTTAAGAACTACATGAGCATTACAGGGCCTCTTTACGTATATGGTATAACAAAACTTGCCCTCCTTTGTAAGTAATCAGGCATGTATTGTCTCCTGACAAAGCTCATGGCATAAATGCAATTACACGTTTCTAAAAGACAGAAATACAAAGATAAAATATTTTACCGAGTTGGGACCTTTTTGTTCGTGATATTGTGGCCAGCACAATAAATCTGCAGGATAAAGAACAATGTAAGATGTAAGCTAAAGGCTTGACAACAAACAAGCTACAATGCTGGATGGCAAAAGCTGCACAATGTCAAGAGTATTCAAGGACTTTGACAGTAGGTGTCAACATTGAGGTGTCAAGGCACAGAGTTGTATGTTGTTCCCTATGAAGAGTAACCGCTTAGCTTGTCTAGAGCCAACTTGTTGCAGAGTGGCAGGGACAGAAGTCGGTGCTCCACATGATGCACTGCCATTGCTACACTTGGGCTTGATTGTACGTCACTGGTTGATGCGTGTGCCACATGGCCTAAGAAATTCTTGACCTCGTTCATGGAACCATTTGTTCGAGACTAAAAAGAGAATGGACAAGAAATGAGTAGACATGTAAGAGTAAGCAGCAGGCAGAAACAGCTGAGTCTAATGTATTCTGCACCAGTAATACTTTTTTATTTTAGGCTAAAATATGACACAACTTGTTACGTGACATCCCAAATGTTCTCCAAGACTTTTTACCAACTCAGTAAGATAGTACAGTTCCTAGATACCATATCATGGACTTCCCTTGAAGTGGCACTGCATGCCGTAACAAAGAATTACCAATTTAGAATCAACAGGAACACAATTGGCCCCGTATCTGCACGTAATCTGCAAATGTCGTCGAAAAACGATAGTCTTGCGTGTGGAGATAATGAACAATTAATTTGATGTTCTATGCAAGAAAATTGGTGAATGGTATTTTGGGGGCGCTGCGTTAGAGTGCCTTGAGTGTGCAGCAGAGGCGATTGAGCACATCGTCATGTTACACGTGAGACGTGAGTGCCACCTGGCAGTCTTCTTGCAAAACAAAGCGCGTGGCTCTGAGATGGGTGTGCACGCCCGTCTCAGAGATAATAAGGTGAGGATTGCAAGGCGACGGGTAGGTGCCACCACCATCGCGTCTTAGCAAAGGGTTGGAAACACTCACCTTTTCGTGCAAGCATTACATGGTCAGCACAGCGTGATAAGCACTACGGTCCTTAAAATTATTTATGTATGCATTTTCTACTAAAGAAGCACATGCAGAATATACACGTGTTGTTATGGTGCCCCAGACTTGCACAATAATTGCTTATTAATTGACAATTCCACAAGTATGAAAGCTAAACCTTGAGCAACATTGGTGGGCGCTGCGGATGGGGTTGGCCGTTTCAAGTACCCAGTGCCATTGAGAGTAGACAAACAGATAAATGTACATATAGATAGACAGACCAAAATTTTTGCGTCGAAGGTCCCCAAGAAAGACTATCGTCTTTAAAAAACTGGCCTGGCCTTAGAAAAAAGTTGTACTGGAACAAAAATAATTTGTTATTTGCAAATTTTGTTAGATCAAGGTTTTTATGTTGCAGCAGAAAAAAAAACAAAAAATAACCCTGTCGCTTCCTAGGCAATAATACTTTCTAGCGTTTTACGTGTCAAAAGCACAATATGGTTATATTAGATACAACATTTGATGAGAACGAACAGACAATCAAGCTAAGGAAAGTATAGGGGATATTATTTGTAGTAATCATGATATAAATGAGACGAAACTAATGTGGATAAAAACCTAATAGCCTCTGGCAAGGGTTGAACTTGCAAAATTCGAATAATGCATCCAATACTCTACCAACTGAGCTATGGCAGCTGTCATCCCACCATCCCCTTTATGGGGTACACTATAGCATCATTATAGTTATAGTGTCTGTCCTTTCTGAATGTTTCATCTTTCTTTGTGCCAGTAAATTTATCTTGGAACATGTTGTTATGGGGAGTATTTCTTTAGGGGTCGTTAGTTGGTACGAGAGTGAAATAACAGTGCACAGGGTGCACAGAATGCCAGTCAACAGGGCCAGACTGAGCCCGACAATACCAATGTCAGCGTCTTATTTCATTAGGTGCCAATTCAGCAGCTCCACTAAACAGGTATTTCTAAACCCGTGACAATATTTCTCTGGTTCCATCAGGTTCTATTTCATGAGAGCCTACTGTAATCCTTGGACTACACCTGCCGCCTGCAGGTTTGCCGCAGGTTCAGTATCTGCCAGTGGCAAGTTGTCCTTTCGTCTACTTTAATTTTTTTACATTTTTAGCATAATTGTTACAGAGAGTGTTCTTTACACTTTCCTTGGCTTGATTGTCTAACAAAGATAATGAGCCCTTAAATTCACCTTCTTTTGTTCTGTATGGTATGAGGCATGCATTACTTGGGGTTTACGAATAAATTTTGACCATCTGAGATTATTTAATGTGGACCAGAATATAAGCACATGGGTGTTATTGCATTTAGCCCCCATCGAATTTTGGCCACTGTTGCTGGAAATCGAACTTATAATTTAAAACTTAGCAGCACAACAATTCAGCCTGCTATTGTGGTGGGTATAGCTTCCCAGGTCATTTTTTGTGATAGTACTTCATTCGAAGCTGTCTAGGTATATACATATTGTAGAAATAAAGTTGTGATTAACTTTGTAATTACAAACTCTGGCATCTGTGGCACATATTGTTCTCAAGGCAAAGCATCGGTGTGATGTGGCTTGCAATTGATGCATGCCAAATTGCAGAGAGTTCATCATCATGAAGTCTTTGCTTAGGTAAGGTCTGCTCTTGCAAATACATCACTTTTTGAACTGCAAACAAGGCAAACATTCAGGACAGTTTCATTTTGACTCTGCAATATACCATATGAAAACATACTGTTAATTTGCCTCAAGTCACGTAAGCAATGATATGCACTGCACCTGATCACTAGGCACTTTTAATTCTCTTGAAAACATTTACAATATAGACCCACTAGCTGAGATTGGGACTTCCAGCATGTACCAACCTAGAACAGGTACCAGTAGAAGGTCTGTTGTATTACAGATGATTTGGCATTTAGTGAACTCTACTGATATGGCAGTCATACTAACCCCATTTTGAGCCAGCAAGAACTGGGCAAGCAGCATGCCGTGTGAGCATGTCCCCCTCACCACTCCGATGAAGATTGTACCAGAAAGCAGCAGCACCCTAGAAACAACAAATAATAACCAGGTATACCACTTGAAATTGTGCTTATACTATAGTATGAGCAGATTAATGCAATTTTAAAAAAAAATTCGAATAGCAAAATACATACTTATGCACAAAGACTTCCCATTCACCGCAGTGGGACGTAAAATCCCAGATATTATTAATATTATAAATGCATCAAAGTGTTACAAAAAACAGAGAGATATTGAGTGTCTTCTAAACACTAACCTTGCTCTTAGAATTCAGTAAAGGTACATCTTAGATGTAGTTAGACCATTCTGCTGCTTCGGGCAGGAGAACTTGTTTTTTTGGTATGGCTGGGTGATTGAAGTTTAGCACTGTATTGACCTACTTTTTCATTGCCACAGTCATTGCCAATTCAGTTTTTCTGAAAAAATTGTATGCTCCAACAAAAACGAACTTTCTCCAGATGATGCAAAAGGTCACCCATCTCCATCTCCCCACCTGTCTCTGTCAGTGGCTGGTTCTGCCTGCCCAAAGTATAGCTTTCCCCTCACTGCTTTTCATATGTTTCCTGTACGTTTGCTTCAAAACTGTAGAAAAAAGACGTGTGCCCATTATGTGACGATACCAGCAAACGTTCGTTGTTACTTTGTCTCCTATTCACTATTCTCCCCTTTGGTACTGCACTAAGCAGAAGGAATCCAAAAGCTTGAAAAAAATATCGTGGATCCCTCTCCTAGAAATCGGTATACCACAAAAAAAAAAAACGTGCTTTGACAAAGTTGGTTAGGCATTATTTGTGCATTGTTACGTCACAAGGGAGAATGAATGCTACAGCAACAAATTGCAAAATCACGCGAAGAACGACAACCATCTCGAAACTTGCAGTGCACACCTCAAGCAGAAAGCACGCACAAAATGAGCATACACAAGACGTGCGCGGACTAGCAACTGTCACTGCTTGACATTTAAAGCGTGCTATTCAAACAGAAAGAAAGGCTCACAAAACGAACGCCCAAGTATACACAGAACGAGCGCGAGCAACTGTCACGATTCTTATTGCTTCGTGTATGAGCAGTGTGCTCCCTTTGTAGACGTGGTCGCAGCAGCGGCAGCTAGTGAGCGAAGTGATTTTTGTGCTCTCTCGAATCACAAGTGTGACAAGCACGCACGCAAGAGAGACCCCGTTCTGTGGAGGGGGCACTGATCAAAACGCTAGAGGTGAGGACCTTGAGAGCATGCCCAGCACAAGGCCTTAGCGCCATCTGGTTACTGATGACGAGAACGCCCTCCAGTTATGAAGCTCTGAGGGCCACCAAACGGTATATGGTGTATATGAATGGCTTGCCCTTAGCATCCTTGATAGTGTATGCTCCGTAGCGTAGTGGTCAGCGCCGTGTGTTGTGGATGAAGAAGTCCCTAGTTTGATGCCCTGTGACAAATCCTTTCGTTCTCGTTTTTTTTTCCTTTGCAATCTGTTAAAATATATTCTACAACGTCATATCGGTGACTGGAATACGTCAGCGAAACCGTGGTAGACTTCGACATAAAACACTTTCGTGTTAAAGAGTAGCCAACTGCAGGTTATCATCCGTAAAGCCTCCCAAAACGAAAAGAGATTTTTTGATGAGATACTATCAATGAATGAATGATCCAATTCACATTTGTGTAATTCAAGTATGCAAGTAATAGTTTGCAGCATTGATGAGTAGTGTAAAATGAAAAAAAGAAAAAAAAAATGGCATAAATTTTATTGACAATCTTTGCATTCTGTGGCTTCCTACAGGCAGTGGTACACTTGGCCAATACTGAAGGCAGTGAAACTGGCTACATAGTCAGAAAAAACTGAGTAATGAAAAAAATTGACCATCAACTGTTATTTGTAATAAGATTCAGCTTGACAAAGGTAAAGCCTTAGCATACGGGCAGATGGATGCATATATACGATGAATGTATTATACAGTAGTATCAAAAACAGTGATAAAATTAATCACACATCACAACTCAACTATAGAGGTTACCTTCTTTGGCCAAAGGGTCAACCTCAGCTGAGGAAACACTGTTGCACCACCAGCAGACACGTCACTCATCTGCAGAAACAATAAGATTGATATAAAAGCCTTAAAAAATTGAGTGTTTTAATGTAATGGTAATTTTGCTCTAATCCAGCACCAATTGTGCAGTTAGGCTAGCGCTCATGAATTTCTGGTGGAGGTCTTTGTGTGGTTCTAAATCCCGAGCTAAATCCTGAGCTAATTTCGTTCTCATGCCCGTCTTGGCGCAGTTCTAAATCTTGCACTAAATGCAGCTGCACGACCTTGAAACCTGAGGAGGTGCATAGCACAGGCAATTAAACAATTCTCTTGGCAAGTGCACGCTTTCCAAGGGTGCCTATTTCTCTTGCACGACGTAGGCATTAGCCAGCTGGTTCAGACTCGTGTTTTGAGATTTTAGGTAAAATGTCGCGATTAATTCTTACCTATTTTTGTAGCTTATATTATTTTAAACCTCATTTACTTTACACTGATCTTTAGCATTGCTAGCATTGTTTTAGGCCAGTATATTGACCCCTCTATGACCATGCGACGTAAAACATAGATGGGTGACAACAAACTGGTTTGCTAGGGTGATACATACTTAAAAATCTTGGGACACACGTGCCAAAAACATATCATTATAAGGCACGCTGCAGAAGTGGACTGGAGGTCAAGGGGAGATGCTACTCGAAAAAAGCTAGTTTTTTTTTCCACTAAATTGCATATTTTTTTTTACTTGCTTTCACAAGTTCAGTTTCCCTATTTTCATGACATAAAGAAATCGAGGCCATAATTGAACTCGACATAGATTAAGATAACTCTTAAAGAAACCAAAGTGGGCATTAAAATTATAAAAAAGTTCACTCTCTAGAGTCCTGGACATTGTTACCTGGCTGCTTGCAATTGAATTTCGCATCAGAAGTTTTCCAAAGCTACATGCTCAAAATATCCATGATCTCGAAGTTCTCATAATGGAAGAAATAATTTTAAAAAGCATAACTTTGCCCCATAAATGAGCTTTCATTTCTGCGTTTAAAATGCATCTTTCTCAAGATGCAATTTTGGGCAACTTCTTGAGTTGGGAGTTTAAAGATCATTTTTCTGGTGCTTCCGACGGGACAGTGGTTAATGCCCCCCCCCCCCCCCCCCCCCGCCTCGTCCGAAGGAAACTGCCAGACTTAAAATCAAGTTAATTCATTCATTCCTAAATCTTAATGACCTGGAAACTGTGTGCACAGTTGCGTGATCATGCTGAAAAGTTGCTCAAGATGCACTAAGAAGCTTGGAATCATTATGTCACGCAAAGGCAGCGCCACTTTAATGCACACTACTAATGCAGGCCTATCTGTACATTTTTATCAAGTAATATCTGTTGATATAAAGAAAACAATTTTTCAATACTAGCAAAAAAAAAATCGTCGGATGTGTGCAGCAATCAACAGTCACGTGGCCGGGTACATTGGATGGTTCATATTTTTGCCACCAGAGGTGCCACAGGTTATGTTTTGTGACTTTCAATGAAGAAATAAAAATATAAATCTACTTCTCACGAAAGAACCAGGGTTGGTTTGAGTCAATGCAACAGACAATCTTTCCATCAGTGGAGCCATCTCATTTCACGTTTCGGGCAGTTGACGGTCCCTTTAATGCATTTGCAGATAGTGCATCATAATTTGCTCCTAAAGGGAATACTATACAGTGGGACCCCGACTGTTAAACACTAGTTCAAAATGGCACAGCGAAAAAAATACAGTTGAGCCACTTTATTGTAATCTAATTTTGAATGACTACTATTTACACGAAACACTAAAAACAACTCAATGAGCACCCTGTGTATAAGTGTAAGGTTGTTATGAACCTAGACTGAACACAACACACTGTATGACTTGAAGTATGTGGGGGGGCTATTACCCCATGTAAAGTTGTCTGCGTCCTGTGGCGCACAAGTGTCTCGCGGATAAGCCACATTTAGGGTTAACAACACGATAGGTGGCATTGTGCTCGCGTGCAAGCTCATCATCATCATTATGATTGGCGCGTTAGCGCCAGGCGTGCCTCATTTAGAGACCTCACAAGTATCAAAGCACATGGTGTGCACTTTCTTTCGGCACCTCTGTGATGATCTTCTCAATGCAAGTGACATGCTCAAGAGGAACTCAGCCTTCTGCAATGAGTCTATCAGGCACTAAGGCCTTGATTTCGGTTGCAGGACACATAGCAACCTTACGAATTTTCACAAGGATGTTACGGTCTTCCTCATTGCACTTTCTTTTCATCTAGATTTATTTGCCTTTTTTTGAACTGAAGCAACTAGTGTTGCCACCAGTGGCATAATTAGAAATAATCTTTGAGCGGTGCTATACGCCACTAGTCAAACAGTAAAAAGAGCCAGCATCTAAACAATATCTGAGTCACTTTTCTGCCAAATAGGTATACTCCGACGCTCAGAAAAAAATTTTTTTGGGAAGGGGGGGGGGGGGCAGGAAGGTGTGGAAGTGTTGTGCGTTGTGATACAGAGACATCCCCCTGGCTATGCCCCTGGATGCCACAGTCAAATTTACTGTGTAATGAAAGGCTAATTTCCAACACACAATACAATTGATTTAGTGTGACCTCTGGGTGCCCTAGAGTAGAATTTACATGCCACTTCAGCATGTAGATGCACGACCCCAACATGTGACGGTGAACACGTGAACACATATAGGACATTTAAATGCTCAAATTTTGTACATACAATACATAGTTATTCTAAATTGCATCACACAAACTGAGAAGAACTGCTAGACAGTGCATATTTTTTGGGCCTATAGTTTGGTGTGAATAGATAAAATGTTATGAGATCACTGGTGGCCAGGAACAGCAGTATCTGCTCAAATATCGAGTGATCCTCAAGTCAACACTACTCCTCCACTCCACCTAGTTGTGCACAGTGTTGCCCTTGAAATGAAAAAGTACTACAGCATACAAGAGCTGTTGTAGAGTGTCAATGAAGCACAGTAACCACTTTTGTCAAGGAGTGGCACTTCTATGCCTATCCTTGAGTTGAGGTAGAGTGCTGAAGGGAGGAACAATATAGAAAATGGGGGTCAGTGCTCCTATGGTTGACTTTACAACACTGTGTTCCGAACTTTAGCATGGGCTTTCATTCAAACGTGCAGATGTTAGAAGAGCCTGCAAATAAGCACTGAATGAATAATAAAAGCAGCAGAAGTAATGAAACTGCCGCTGAATCCAAACAGCAGCTTTGTATAAAAGCGGTATGAGCCGCTGCTGCCAAAACATCTAAACTGGTTGCACACAAAGTATCGTCTACTGTACAGGTAAAGAAAAGCATTATGTACCAACCAGTTCAGGCTGCAACAGACATCATTAAGGAAGCAGCCAACAGCAACAGCGTGATGTGTTTGTGTTCTTGTGGCATAAACACCCCCTCCCCTTATTAGCAGTAATACAAAATCAATTACTATGTGGTTATATTTAAACTGTGAGATTTGAGAGCTGTGAGCTGAATTCATTCTTAAAGTTCTATTCTCAACAGATTGCTTCCATAGACCTTCTCACTTTCATGAGATTTCGTGTGACCAATGTTAGTCAATAACCTCCCGCCATCAGACAAGTGGACACACCGGCATCGATAAAGTGAAAGCATTATTGGCACAGTTACAATAACCTATGTTATCATTATAAATGTGTACTCTGATGTAGAGCTAAAGTGTAGCACTAATAAGATATTGTGTGGAGGTAAAAAAAATGTACTTTTTATTAAAAATGTATTTAGGCACATAGCTTAAGTTTCTAAATGAATATAGTAATAAAAACAACACAAATAAGTAAACACAGTGGTTGTTAAAGCTTCCATACAATATAATGAAACTGGAGAAAACTCAGAAATCGTGTGTTCGGTAGGTGTCCACAAAGCCATTAGACTGGTTGTCTATACATATTACAAAACGGCTAAAAACTATGCTTGTGGAAAAAACAGGCAAATTATAACAAACACTACTTTGCACTGACTTCATATAAACATACATTATGACAAATTGTGGCCTACATAGTAGGACACTTTCCATAAGTTGTATAATATAATGGCTAATAATAGCTTACTTATCCTACAGCAGTCTCAATTTAACAGTTTGATTCCCCAACCTTTTATAAGTTTCTAGGTATTCAATAATGTAACAGCTTCAGCAGACATCTTTGTTTCTACCGATGTAAAACCAAATGAAGCCTCTTTAGTTTAGTAGACGATTATGTCTGCCAAAATTGCAACGCCACGTGGTGCGGAATTAGGCCAAATTTCAAGATGAACGCTGATCTCCCTTTCTTGCGTGGGCACATGCCCAGACAATGAGGGCATAACGTACACGCATGAATTACCCTACGTACACGGCAGTGCTGTGACGTTGGTCCTCTATGTAGACGACTGTGCTCTGACATTCCCAACATTAGCACGTGACACGGCAAAAATTATTTAACACAACATGTGTAGTTTATGCAAGTTGTTGCTTGAATAGATGAATAAATATTGAGATAAATAAAGAGACACAAAAAGGAAATGCTTGCGTCTTTTCCATTTTCCCCCCTGTGAATTGCTACGAGATGCGGGGCTAATGTGCTTGCGTTTTGCATGTGTTGGTGCTCCGGCGGTTAGCGCATCAAGCAGGCGTCATCCCTTAAAACGAAATTAATGACCCTGCGCGTTCGAGCACTCCTTATATGCTCATCTATTCTACCGCGTCTAAACGAGCGTTTCCAAACCATCCTGCAGAAACAGGCAGTAGATCACGAAATAATGCTGGTTAACAAAAGAACGCCGCTCACATGTGCACGTGACCTCTTGGTTGAGTGCCGGAGAGGGTAGCGGAAGAGATTTGGCTTGTGAAGGCAGCGCGGGGCGAGTGGCAAGGGTTTTCAGCTCGCCTACTCGCATCTTCCTTTCACGCCATTTAAAAAAAGAAACAGTTTTCTCGGCTCGTAATGAACCAACTGAAAAAACTTTTGTGGCATAATGCTGCTCATCGAACACGCAATTACTTCCATGGTCTCTCTAAAATTTTTTATGATGCCTGGTGAGGGGCCCATTAATTTTACACTAAACCACAATCAATACCACTACATGAGGCTAATTCAGCTAGCACAACAGAAGATATTAGAGTAAGGTGAGAAAGAGCAAAGTACGTTGATGCCTACAGCATGTCAATTTTAGAGTGTTCAGTCATAATGCTTTGTACATGCACCGTCACTGATGCATGCTTTACATAACTTGAGACCTATGACCATGCAAGCAGTCTAAGCATTCCCGTATCTTCTAAAGCTTATATTTATAGCATAAAAAATAAACAGACAAAGAGACAGAAAGGGAGACTTCACATCTGCTTACATAGTTAAGCCACGTGGAAACCCGGTTGCCATTTGACAAGTGCGGTGGTAGTTTTTGCTTGCCTTTTTTCTTCAAAACAAGAACAAAAAGATAAACATAAGCGAGAATGGCACCACGAGTGCAGCAACATTCACAATAAGCATGATTAGGCAGTTAGTACTGCAGCAGTATTAGTTGCAATAGCCCACATCTTAGGTGGTTAGTAGTAGCAATCTGTGTAATAAGTAGCTTTGAAGTAAAATAGAATAATGCACAGGACATACTACATGCAAAGTAAACACAAAAGATCTGCACAAACAAAAAGCAAGGTTAGTACCAACAAAAGCTCAACCTGCACTATTATGACAAAAATGAGAAGCAAACAAACATCAGAGCCGTTATAGTAGAAAAAAAAATAATGACTTATACCAAAGAAAATACTGCACTAAAATATATCTAGCCACTAATATGAGCTAGAAAACAGATATCAGCAAAATCTTTTCCTCAGAGTCCAAAGGCGTTGTGCACATGATTATGACATAGCTAATAGAAATGGTGAAAGAAAGCAAAAAAAAAAAAACAATAACCCAGGGTTCAAGTATCTTATCTGAGAATTAATGTCCCGTCTTTACTAATGACAGTAGATATACTCAAAATGCGCATGAAAAACTCCTGTTATGAAACCTTTATGTTTTATATTACTTCAACTATTCATTTAAACTAACTACAATTTTTGTGTTTCGTGGTGAAATTAAGATAGACAATAATATCTGAGCATGTTATTCCCCACATTTCTTTCAAGCTTACTCCATTGTGGCTGAGTGTAATAACTTTCTGTTGATGCGTGGCCTAGTTCTTCAGTTGAATCTTACATCATCTGACTAAAGCCAACAATGAATTTTTTCTTTTGCCTATACGAACTAAACAACAATCACAAAGCATACCGTTAGCAAAATGTATAAGCTGCCATGTACATGAAATTTTGAGTTGAGAACTCACTAAGACCTGCACATTTTTCAGTCATCATAATCCCCCCTCCCCTCTTTTTTTTTTTGTGCATAACTTAAGAAATGTCTTGAAAATTGTTAACGTGCCGAAAATAATCCAGACAGTTAAGAGCCAAATGTTTCCCATCTTCTTGCCCTTTAAACCTGTATCTGTGAGAGTAGCCTGTCGTAGCGGCATCACCTCTACACATAATACTTTCGATTTTTTTTCTCTGGTAGCCATTCACAATCCAATAATTATTGATTTCATGTCTCACTACATCGTAAAATTAGTATTTAGCTCCTTCCCTGTTTAAACTTATCCATCTGTGATATCAAAGTAGTTTGGTGACAGATCTGTGCTGGATGACACCTTACAGCACCTCGACATGCTGTAACTACATGCCACAAGAGTTGCAAGCAATTGCAGCGTGAAGAAGACAAGTCCGCCGGTAAAAACGTCAGCTGCTGTGGCACTCGTGTTCACATATCTAAGAGTTGCAAGTGTTCCTTGTGGCACGTGTCGCATATACCTCATTTGGCAAGCACATGCCGCATGAAACACAACCATATATGGCGTGTGGTTGCTGTATGAGGAGTTAGTGTTCCGTCCGTCTATGAGCTCTGCATGCAGTACAATTCAGTAGCACGTCTATCTAATGGGCAAACGCACACACATACTCCACCTGCAAAGTTGGTGCCTACTCACACTGCTCAAGGCATAACAGGAGCCCTACTACCAAGTAATTGTGCATAATCTATTATATAGGAAGCAAAGGATGTCGTGCGACTTCCTCATACATATGTTTTTGAATTATTTGAAAGTTTCTTAATAAAACAAAATATAAAAAGCCAAACTTGTATTGAAGTCAATGCTGAAAGAGAGAGAGATTAGTGATCCAGTGTTAAAGCCATAACTTATGCAAAAGCAAGATAAAAAAGAAGAAGAAAAGAGACATGCATCAAGTGTGTACTTATTTACAGTCAGCTGGAAAGAGAAACAAAAGTATCTCTGATTAAACTACGTGGCAAGAGAAAACTCCACAAAATGCTTACATAGTTCAGCCAAGTCGCAATCCTGTTACCGGTCCCAAGGCTTTGGAAAGCATTCTTTTCCTCTCGCTGCATCATAAAGTGATAAAGCAGAATGCACATTCACAAACAGCTCTATTAATTTTTATGTTTTGTAGCATCACTTAATTCTGTGGAAGTGCTATCACGCATCGTAAAGGCATTTTTGCCTCATAGCGCACGTGCATCCGGCTAATTAGTTATGGCTAGTTTTGTAGCAGAGTGAGAGAAAGCACCGTGGTTGTGCAGTGACGCCAGTAACACCACTCTTAAGAAGTGAGGCTATTTGGGCACTCGGGGACGATATTTCTTTTCTCTTTGGGTTTAGTGTAGTGGTGGACAGATGTCTCTCATAGGAGAGCCATGGGGACTATTCTGCAGCTAATTTCATGCGAGCCCCTCATTGTGAGTTGAACATCAGCGACACCAAATTCGCAGTACATAGTATATGCTGTGTTGTTTTTTGTGTGTTATAATCTCTATTGGCATTGCCTTGTGCTATTTGGCATGTCTGCAATAGCTTATTAGATTCAACTGGTGAGCTTGCTATTATAAAAGTGTTAAATTATTGTTCACGTGTGTGCTTGCTCGACGACGTGACTGTGTATGTGCGTTCCGAGAGTGCGTCTTATACCAGACCACAAAATCTTAATAGTAAGTCGGCACTGACAACCTTCCTACATTATGCTTGCTTGTATCTTGCATAACCATGAAGCAAACATTCTATTCAGCTGTGCAAAAACATTAAATGCAGTTATACCATAAGGAGTGACAAATGATCTCCTCAACTATACTGAACAAGCCTTGTTAATCCACTCTAAACTGTTTCAAAGCATTTATGCTGAGTATAACCAGTCTTGGCTCAATAATATTCCCTCTGAGGATGAAAGGCTCTCTTCATTACCTTAAGAATGCTCTCCTCATAATAAATGAAAACATAAGCATTACTTGCTCTTTTCAGTGTACAGCCAGTCACAGTTAATTACAGTACGAAAAAAGTGATTTATATTCAGCCATGGCCGGGCTAGACTGCACCTGCGCACGCTTCTTTCCTTACCACCTTCTCACCGGTCGCGGAAGCAATGGGAGAGTTTCTGAGTATGTTCCGCCACCCGTCGGCGGTAGGGGAGCAGCGACCCTGACCTTGCATCTTCTGCGCCGCACACACGGCACAGCAGTGTTGTTCGATGTGAAATCGCGGAATGAGGGTTGTCAATGAAGAGGAGAGAGGGAGATTATTCAAGAATTCGGGGGTAGACAAATGAACGTCTTCTTTAAAAAAAACTAAATTTCTCAGACTGCTTACTGCTAATTGTAGGTATGCATGGGCTCGTGAATAATACAAGCTGAAACTCAGTAAGAATGTGGATGAATCAGCTAATGAGGCATAATGCAGGTAGCATAAAGCACTGGCAACAACAGAAAAAGAGAGATAAACAATGCTGCATCTGTTCTGCAAACAAAGGGCACCAAATACCTTTGGATCTTGGTCTCGTTGGACGAGATTTAAATTAAGAGAGGTCGCTTACAGAAATGACGAGCACGCTTTCCCTTTGCTAAGTATTTCATATTTGTTTATTTTTCCAATTACATTTCGTGTGGTTTTCAGGGCTAAAAGGTGCATCTGCACCTTGACAGCGTTTCAAAACACGTACATGAGTTGTACCTCTAATGGTTAAAAATAACTGCATATAGAGAGAAAGAAAGTAAAAAAAAGGAGGACTCTTGCAGCTGAATAACCCCTTAAGACAGCACGCACTGAGAGTGGTAGTGTGCATTGTCAAGGTGTTAACACCACCTAGAAACATTAATTTTGGGGACCCAAAGCTCTTTGGTGTTCTTTTGTACTGAAAGCCACATCGATGAAGAATGCAGCTGCTTACGCTCGCAAGCCGCTTGCCCTGGAAGTAAAACTTTCTAGTGCAAATCAGTTCTGCTATCCTTTGAGTTCGTGAAAGAGCATGTTTAGATAGAGAAACTGAAACCTTTCTAACTTTTTGGCAATTGAGCAACTTTTTTTCTAAAAAATCTGAATGAATTCTCTTGTGGCTTAGTGCTACAAGCAGGTTGTTGTCAATTTTCCTTTATCCCTAGTGTGGCTTGCTTTATTCTAGACTTAGTTTGGTGCTGTCTCAGTGTTCAGTTTGCAGTGATTCCTCGACTCGAGAAAACGGTCATACAACCTTCAGTATGCATAGTACATACATGGATATATATTAGCAGTAAGATGGTGTATTGCTGTGTTCCGTATTGTAAGTTCCATTCAGGGAAAACACTGGCGTTTCTTTTCCCCAATTCCCAACAATGCTGAGCTTTGCGCTAAATGGCAAAAGATTATTGCGAGACACAACCTCATCATCAATGACAACTCTGCCTCGACAGTCATATGCAGCAGACACTTCCGCCATGAAAACTGTATGCCTGCATGCCGCATCAGAAAACTTCTTCCCGATTCTGCGCCTACTCTCTTCAAGGACGCATTGACGACAGCCACTCCCTATGGTTTGCAGATTTCATAGCCGAAAAATTCCTAAGAATTCTTTTCGCCAATCACACCAACCAAATGACTGACACAAATGACAAGCCTTCCACCTACCCACACAGGCCGACTAGGAAGCACATTGGGTTGTGAAAAAGACATACGTGAAGTCCAGCAAAGTTTCCACTTGAAAGTGTTCAACTATTGCCAGTGCTTACGAGCAATAAATATTTATTTTCAGACCTCAGAATGTTTACACAATTGATGGCAGAAAGCTTTACTCCCAGCTCTTGCATTTATACACCTTTTGATAAACTTAAGCTCAATGCACATTTGCACATAATAAGTCGAAATAAACTATTTGTACGTCTTTAACGACTAGAAAACTTTTTTTTCAATGTGCGGTGAGTGAATAAGCGCACCCGAACTTGTGTGCTGTCGTTGCGCGCCCTGCACGGAGCGGTGAAGGGTGAGAGCCGCAGCACCCCCCTCAAAGCAGTGGCGAGAGGCATGTACCACACCCGATGCGAAGGTCGTAAGAAGCAAGCGCGCAGGTGTAGTTTAGTCCGGCTGTGATTCAGCAATAGCAAAAGAATATTTAAGGGACAAAAGTTCTAAGTAGAATAAAACAGTTGTAGATTCCATGGTCCCTATTATGCTTGGGCATTCGACGCGAGATGAAAGGTGTGGAGCACCTCTCACTTAGTAGTAATACTATTTAATCCTTGTTTGATGTACAGTTGAGCCCACATATAATGGCTCCACTGAAAATGAACTTTCGCTTAAAATGAACAATATCTGTGTGACCGTAAAAGTATACATTATTTCAATGGCACAAAATCACCCTTACAACGAACAGCTCTGAGCCCTGCCGATTGGTTACAGCGAATAAAATCAGCGCTCCAGCGACTGACCTAGACATCTATTTCGAGCACCAATAAGCCATCGGGGTGGTGCCTGAAATTTTTATTTTTCTGCAGCCACGTAGTTGTCCCTTTCCCCGACCATTTTTTTGTTTTGCGTCTCTTTGTCCTTTGTCCCCCTGCTGCTCCGAACCCCTGCGTTGCCAATTGAGGCCCATGTTTTCAGTCTGTCACCGATATTTCGAAGGCCGGTCAGCTGACTAGTCTCCCCTCTGTTTTTTGATCATTGGTCTTGTTACACTATTGTTGGTGTTATAGGCCTAGTGTGACCAGACCATTGGTCAACATCATCGGTCACCGACTTGTACTCAATCATCTGCATCAACGTCTTGTCTGGATTGGCCCTACTGTCAAAAGCATAAACATTTGCTGCTATCAAAAGCATCAGCTAACTTCAATGGCCTCTCTAAATAAACATTCTGGAAAAGCAAAAGCGTTCTAACACTAAGAAGGTTTCTGTTAAAGGTTTCATGCCACAGTTACAGATTTTTCTATTATTCAAGAAGTATATTATGCAAAAACAAGTGTTTTTAGGTAGAATATTTACACATGTTGAGGCATTGAACATGATTGCTCTATTTGACCGCTTCGGCCAGTGGGAAAGATATCTGGCTGCTTGTTGATGGTATAGTGCGACAGAATCAACACAGGGAAAGTTTAATGGCCTTTTAAAGTTACTGTCTTCAGTCAAAGCACTAAAATTTGTACAAGTGCATGCCTGTGAGTGAGCAACAATTCAATACTTTCAGTGATTAGTCACCAAAAAAAATATTATTGTTCTCATAGAATATTTTACATTTTTTTATTTGGTATAACACTAACATTAGCATGGTTCCGCAGATACCTAACATAGATAACACCTGTCAGCTGTGTTGTCTTACCAATGAGGCACTATACAACCGAGCATAAGTGAAAAGCTAGAGTAAGTGATAGTGTTGTTGTTTACATATGAAAATGAGGGTTCCTCGCATAAATATTTTGTCATTTATTGGTGCAAGTGCCAAGAATGTAGATGAAGTATCAGAACTGCTACAGTTCTAGCCCATCTCGTTCAAGCATGAAGGATTTTAAAATTACCCCAACTGACAATTAAAAGGTGTAGTATACGTGGGCATGCACATATGTGCACATGCACATGCACATAGAGACCGTAGTTTGTACAGAGATTTAACAACTGAGTAAGATGTACGCTATATACATACCCTTGCAAAGTCAAAATGAGGTTCATAATGGCCACCTATTCCATAGTTGACCACCTGAAGCTCCTCAGCAGTGTCTGCAGTCAATCCCGTGATGTCTTCTATTCTCCGAGTTACACGGGCTATGACACCGTGCTCTTCATTCTTCAGCCAGGCACTCTTGCTAATACGGTAGCTGGCAGTTTCCAATTCGCCAGATTTGTAGTTCTGCACGGTGGCCCTCCTCAGCTGCAGTAGTTCAGTGAACATAACATAAAGTACAGCCGCAATAGAGAGTGCTGACAAAATGGCCAACACATACCACAATATGTTAACATTTTCTACAAACTGGTGTAAGTCAAACTGTATTAGTTATAGCAAGACAGAGTAGTTAACACTTATAAATATTTACTGCTGAAATTAGTTTTCCATTTAAGCTAATTAATTTTAAGCTGTGAGATACACACAATAATTGGGTGGGAAATATTTATATGCAGCATACCCTTGGTTGTGCTAATGTCTTGATGACGTTCATTTCATGTTCAGACAAAACATCATGGTAAATGACAATTCGTGGCTTTGGGAACATCACTTCTTCTTTGGCTGGCTGCAGCAGAAGATATGGCCGGTTGTTGGTACGGTACTGGCATGTCAGCTCCCGATCATGGAATAATGGCTGGAATGACCCATTATTGAGAGTATATGTAAAAAATACAAGACATATACAGCTCACACTCTTGGAAATGTATGGTCCACTTTATTGTGTATGCGCTTCAAATCGCTTATGCAAATAAAACTTTAGCATGACAGGTTTGTTTCAGTCTGTTTATACAGCGTGGTTATCCCTTGAGTAAATGACATAGCTAGACCTTATTTGAAAAACCAAAACTATTTTAGTTGGTTAGCAAAGTTACTAGTACAATACCCTTTAAATTAAAACTATAGATGATAATCATGAGCATACCAACATAACAAACAAACAAAAAAAAAGTTCCACATTTAAAAACTATGCATTGAATACAAGTGATGCTAAATGAAGGTTTTCAGGTTAAGGGGAGATGCAACTCAAAAAAAAAAGTTTTTTTAATCTGTAGTTTAAGGCAATAAAAGTTTTGTTGTTTACATAGCTTTTTATGTAGATTTCAAATATCTTATCAGTTTTATAGTAAGTTACATAGTTGTCATTATGTAGAGCAACCAAGTGTACAATATATCTATTTTTGGACAGACACACTTCTTATGCCACTAAACTTTGATTGTTATGAGCCATTAATAGCTCACATTGCTCCACATTAACTGTAGAAAGGAAATAACCAACATAAAAGTGTGTATAAGAGATTTTAATTAGCAAAGAACAGTAATGTGAGAATTCTTAAAATGCTCAACCCATAGTTGTTATTTGCTTACCATAAGTTTATAGTAGTTATATAAGTGAGATCAAATTTCAAAAAATTGCACTCCCCACATGTTAAGGAATATGTGGGAAAATTTTCATCCAGATCTGGCTATCAGCACCAAAAACATGGTGTCTAAACAAAAGGAGTTGCTGAAGATTGCATGATGAGAAAAATACATTTTAAAGGTTGAAATTAAAGCTTAATTTATGTGTCAAAAATATGCTTTTTAGAATAATTTCTTCCATCATGAAAGCTTGGAAATCATGCTTATTTTGAGCACGTGGCTATCGTGAACTCCTCATGCGAAATGCAATATGGCAAGCAGCCAGGGTGACAAACTTCCAGAGGAATTTTGACAATGAGCTCTTCTTAGTTTTTAATAGTCAGCTCGTGCTCTTTAAAAGTGATTTTACCCTCCTTCAAGTTTCATTACAATTTTGATTTTTTTTGTCCAAAAGTAGAGAAACTAAACTTGTGAAGCAAGTAAAAACAGTAGATGTAAAATTTTAGACAAATTTGGATTTTTCTAGTAGCATCCTCCCTTATTAAGCTAGATTACTTGGGGTTGACAATGTAAGAACTATTCTGCAATTTCTGTGGTCCTAACAGAATTCAATTCGTACCCATTGTCAGCAAACTCTACCACTGAAAAGAGAACCTTTTTCATATCTCATACATAGGCCATTTCTGAAGAATAATAATAATTCTTTCAGTTTAACAATCCAAAACCACGATATGGTTTTGGAAAACACCAGAGCAGAGGGTTCGGAAAATTTGACCTGGGGTTCTCTTACGTGCACCTGAATCTAAGCACAAGCAGAAAGTTGGCCTCTGCTGTGGCCGCCGTGGATGGGATTCGATCCCGCGACCTGTGGGTCAGCAGTCGCGCACTGCAACCACTAGACCATCATGGCGGTTTATTTCTGAAGAAGCTTTGGGACCAAGATTCCATCCAACAAAATGTCGATATCGACCTCTAAAATGAGCAAAATCTGGATGCAAATTCTGAAATACTGTTTTTGTCTCACGCTTATGTTGACCATATGGGTTGCCCCATAAAAACAATGCTTTAGACTATGTTTGCATAGCTCACGTACATGGTTATTATAAACTTTTTTGAAAAACAGATGGCACAAACATAGCTATGTGTGGGCCGCGGGTCACAAGTGAGAGGACTGCGGGTTGCATGCGGAGTTTGAGACCCCTGCCATAGATTTTAATGTATTGTATGAATATAGAGAACGATAAAATGTCTGTACAAGCTTAATTTTAATTCTGTAATGCAATGCAATCATTAACCCCTTAACTGCTAATTTTTAAAGAAAATTTCCGGTAAAAAAAAAGTGCCCATTTTATTTATTGAGGATTTCAATGCTCGTACTAAAAAGTAGCTAGTTGATATTGGAAAAATATTTTCACCACATAGTCAAATCAATGGAATAAAGTTTATTTCTGAACAATACATAGGAAACAAACTACCTGCTGCTAACAAGATTAAAAACCTAATAAACAAAACAGCTACAGACGCCACATGTTACTTCACTTGTGTAGGCTAAGCAGCCTTGGGATATTTCACTCTTGAAACTTCGGAGCTGTGCGAAAAATTTCAAGACGCGGAATAACACAAGGCGGCTTCACTGGCGGTCACCCGCAATGTTCGCGTGCGAGCTGTTTTCATCGTCACCGGAGGAGCTACTCATTCAAATGTCATCACTGTCTTCACTTCCAGACACAAGATGAATACCTACTCGAATCGTCATCACTCAAACAAGATGATGAAAATGAATAGCTTCTTTTTCGTGTTCACGGGTAAGCTATGAATGGGTAACCACCACCGCACGCAGTCTTTCTATAGAAAAACCGTGCTCCTGCCGGAGGAGAAAACGAAAGCCTCAAGAAAATGCTGCCATCTTGAGGATGACTTGCAATGTCCCCCGTAAATGCGCGCTTCTCCGCTTGACCACTAGAGGGGAGTACCTATTCTGCTAGGACGAGTTTTACTTGTCCAAAGCAGTTTGATGACAGTTTGGGCAGGACGAGCTCTGCTCGTCCTGCTTTGGACGAGCTCTGCTCATCCATAGCAGTTAAGGGGTTAAGGGGTCATGAAAAATTTTTCCAAGTATTCATCAAATGACTTCAGTATTGAAGTTTATTGCCTTGCGAATCAATTTCCAAAAAAATTTCTCGGATCGGTCAGAGACGAGTGAACTTACAGGGGTTTATCGTGCTCACACTTTACGTGTACAACACTTTGACCATCTGCTGTTCCTTAAAATGCAATGACATTGCACAGCACACAAGCCTGCAGTATGTACCCTCCACTGTAATGTGACTGCTGCGGCCAGTACCAAACTCGCAACCTGCAGGTCAGCAGCCGAGCACTGTAGCCACTGTTCCATCGCGGTCAACTGAGTATAAGAGAGTCTGGGTAAATAATATTTTGACGAGTTTGAGACTGAGTCAGCCTAGTTAAGAAATGTTTCAGTTAGTATGAGTTTAAATAAGCCATCAGAACAATCTATATTTCTTAAGCGAGTCAAAGTGAGCTCCAATGTTTTTGCTGACTTATAATTGTGATATGCTAAATTACTTTGCAGTTCTCCAAGTTTATAGAAAATTCCACTCAGAAAAAGCACATGAAATTTTTATATTTTACAAAACAAATAGTAGAAGTAAGATAATTGCATACAAATATGTAACTTAACATGTTTCATTAAAATTGATTGAGAGCCTTAAAAAATGTTTTAAAAAGCAACTACCACCTTTAACGGGGTCCTGAATTACTTTTTGAAGAAATCGTGGTATGATGCAATATAAGAATATTGACTGACAAATTGGTTGCAGCAAAATTTCTCAAATTCGTCAAGAACGAGCAGTTACTACAGGGATTTGCTGCATTTTTAATCTCTCTCTCACTTGTTCTAATGAATGGACTGAAAGCTATACAAGTAAGGATGACACGGGGAAAATGAAGCTACGTCAGCACGCGTCATGACCTGAGGTGCACGTGATGAACAGGACTGCTCTTTCGCACTATAATTCCTGTGTAGCTTCTACTATGTAATGCTAGCTTACTACAGAGAGCAGCACTGGCATGGGTCGACACTAGCGCACACAAGACACAGTTTATGTCGGCTATTGGCCAATAGCATGATATATCTGCAGTTCGATGTCATACAGCAGGTGCCAGCAGTTCTGAAGAGAGTGAGCGCAGGCCTCTGTATGAAAGAGGGCACCTGAGAAAATGGCAACTTTGCACTCTGCTTGCAAGCTCTCCTTAACGGGCGCAACAGTGAGGTTCGGCTGAGCTGTTTATAGCAGGGTCTACTTTCCACAGGATGCACTTTTTCATCAAGCCCATGGGGTGCTTCAGGACCCTTTTAAATTGAATTAGAAAATCATGCTGATATGTTTTTTTTTACACAAATAGGATAATACACTCAAAATTTATGCCTCAAAACTGTAACATCAACGAACAATTCTATTTGGAGGTTTTGAAATGGCTGTGCAGAACCGTGGCATAGAAATGTCCAGCGTTAAGGAGTTCTATCGAGTGCTTCCTGAATCATTCCAATGCTCGGACGCTGGTTCTGGCCTCATGCGAGACCAGACTGACACATGGACAGCTTGACACATGGACAGCTTGACCCATGCACCGTATTCTCTGTGTTTTGCGGAAAAGGACTTAAATGACAAGAATTTGGCCGGTGCAAGGCGTTTCCAGCAACATTTATTAGTACTAATGGAGACTACTTTGATAGTGATCAAAGTTGTATTTAAAAAAAAAGTTGCATTTATTAAAAAAAGTAATTTTCATGCTTTTTATCAGGTAATGCTGGTTATTTTTTGGCCACCCCTCATACTGTTGACTTTAGTTACACAGTTCCCTCTTTCAGCGCCTCAGCCCTTACTATGATAGAATAGACATATAGCCCCTGCTGCCTTTAAGGCCTTTCTACATCAATTTTCTGCAATTCAAAGGGGCTACACTCATAGAAGGCAGATGGTTATCTGTAAGCCTTTCATTGGGACTACCTCAGCCCCTCATGTGTCTGTTTCATGCACATGAACCCACATTTTTATGCACCTGTAAGGCTGATCTCTAAATCTCTAATGGTGACTTACTGGAAACTTTTCTCCTCGGCAAAGCCTTTCATAGATGCCCCGTTCAGAGTCAGCATCTGGAAGTGGAGACTTTTTCTTCGAAGTGATGCTGTCATCTTCAGAGATATCGCCATCATCTCCTCGTTTGTACTGCTCTCGTTTTGCCAAAGTATCTTCATAGTACCGCTTATTTCCAGGAGCACGGGGATGGTCGGGCACTGTTTGATGTGAGAACAGAACTTTACACTTTAAATCATGTAAATTTTATTCTATGTTAATATAACTCCTTTAAAAAAGTTTCAATGACTAATTTTACCAGAAAACAATATTGCTATGGACAATGGACATCCTTGAACTTCAGTATCCATGCCTAGAGGCTTCTGTTTTATGAAACAGATAGACCCTTTACAACAAATTTATGACTGACATGAAAATATCTTTACCATGTCTAATAAGGCATTGTAAGTATACACAGTCATATAAAAAAAGTACTTGAAATAAAAAGTTAAATTATATACTGCTTCCTAAAACTAAAAATCGGTCACTAGCAGATTTCAATTACCCAGCAATGCAAAGTGCTCATATGTTGCATGGGCTCAAGAATAAATAGCAACTTACATGGCTGCTAATATATAAGAATGCCACCAGCATGATCACATGAGTTAAGGCACATTTGCCTGACTGCTGCAGTCAAAGTAAGCTAAGTCACTTGTTAAAATGGTTACAAGCTTTAAAATGAACCAATTATACTATTATTCATTCCGAGGACAGTTGCAGACCTCTATTTTAGACACAGATCAGACTGTGCATGGACCTAAACACCCCAACTATAGCTGTCAGTCTAGCCCCATGTATGTAATCTGATGCTTAAAGGAGTCGTGAAAAGAAAATGAAGCTGCCCGGTTGTAATTTGCCCTACTTCATTAAGGACTAGACATGCCGATTCCGAAATACTTTGGTGCAATATTCAGTCCATAGTTAATGATGCCCATTTGAAATCGCAGTTTTCTTGGGCTCCCAAGCGACTATGCAGCACCCCCGGCCGCCATAGGCACTAACGTGTGGCGTCATGCTAAGAGAACACAGTGTGATGCTAAGACAACACAGTGTTAGCTTTCTTTTGCTCTAAAATGAAATACTTAGAAAAACCTAGTAAATAAATAAAAAATAACACAGCAATATTTGCACTTTGAGTTGTATACTATGCAAGTACAGCAAATGATCTGCTTGGTTCTGTTTTCAAGTACATCCGGGCTTCATCACATGTGCATTCTTGCCTTACTGGTTGCCTTCACTTGCTTGGTGCAGTGTCCCTGTTTTTTCTTATTGGTTGCGTTAGGTTGCATTTTACAGTGTGTTTCGGGTAGCTTAGTCCTCACTATAACAACCATGTGCATTGTCAGACAGTGCTGCATCACTTATGCAAACATGAAAATGACTTTACGGCACCGTAATTGAAATGCTATGATGCTATGAAACTCGGTCAACTATGGTGCAGCAAACATCACTGCATTGTCATATTTTGTTGACAACAGAGCCTTCTTATTGGCTGACTTTAAGTGATGTCTGCTGTAAAATTAGAAGAGAAAGTGAGCTGGAGATTACAAATTGTGCTTTTATAGCTATTATATGAAGCTGGACGGTGAAACGAGCCAAGGTAAAGTATTGAATGGACAGTCAGGATTATGAATACACACATAGGTGAAATTTTCGAAAAACATTTCACGCCCCCTTTAATCGCTAAAATGAGGAGTACAAGTACGATAAACATATACCAACAGTGAGATTCCCATGACAACTCTTCACCAGTCACCATATTAGTCATTGGTAAATTATCATCACAGTCAGCCTCGGGGATGATTAGGCCTAGGCTGCTATTAACAATTCATACCCCTGAGCTTCCGATGCCTTGAAAGGATCTGTTACATCTAGTTACAGAAAAAGTAAACATATCAGCCAACTTTGCTATGGACATGCTTCAGCTCAGGCCATAATAGACTGAAGACAGATGCAACAACGTCTAATGGCTTACTGTAAACAAATAATATAAAGGGGCCCTAAAATACTTTTCCAAGTCCTTTTCCAAGTCCTTTTCCAAGTCCTTTTCCAAGTCTCACTATTAGCGCATGATGCTTCATGAATTAAATGCCGCAAAAATATTTGAGGCATTTTTTTATTTAAAGAGCCAAGTGCACTTTAAATAAAACTGAGAAAAACGCACTTTTTTTCTATTGATAATATAGTAAGGCCTGCTCAAACAACTTTTTGCCATTATGTTCCTCTCCCCTAAATACCACAAATCTATACTGTGGGTAAAATCGGCATAGCCAAATATCGTCAGCATTGTGAAGTAAAGTTTGTATTTGGCTCATATTCATTGAAATATTTCATTTGGACATGAATTAGCTCATAAAATAAGTGTAGAACGATTTGAATGTACTGAACAGCAATATTTAGCGATAGAATTGACATCATATTTGTGCTTCCGTTGCTGCCGCGCTTCGACGCATTAGCGTAATGGCGATTACTAGACTTGAAGAGCGAGTGGTCCTTCCAGGCAAAAGGGGCACTATTCTGGACTGTCATCAGTGTTTTCTTGTTCCTGTCATCAATTGAAGGCCTTGAAAAGTGTTTCAGTTAGTTTTATACCATGCCATTTCTGACGACTTCTTCTTTAGAAAATAGATGGACGCCCGATATCCTCAATTCCCCCAAGCCTATTTTATTTCAAATATACCATGTAGGAGTGAACTTAGGACAAGATACTGTGGTGCTAAAGTCGAAAAAAATCACCAAGATGCAAAAAGAAGTAAGCAAGTCAGCTTCTTAATCTTTGCAATCGACTTTTGTCAATAACTATCATGCCCTTCAGTAAGTGCAAACTCGGCCTAGAAGACCTATTTGTGGAATGTAAACACGATAAAAAAGCAACTAAGACACAAATAAAACATTCTGGCTGGGACCATGTTGGTTGTTTTGATCATGCTTGTTGGTTTAATGAATGTTGCTTACTTTGATTGAAGCAGTTGGAGTACTTGGCTCATTTTTGATTAAAAACTGCCTTCTTGAGCTCATGTTACAATAAAGAATTGCCCCATTTTGATTACAACTGTTTTATAAATTGAAGATACTTAGGCATGCTTTTTGTTAAACCGTTAGCCTAGTTTCGGTTTCTGCATTTGGCTCTTCTAGAAAAAAAAAAAATGCCTAATTTAGGATCTGTCAAGTTATGAGCAGAGTTACAGGGGCTTATCATTTGCTTTAAGCACCTTTTCTCTCCTTTCGTACCAGCAAGTGCACAGAAAGCTATGCAGGGAGGGGGATGTTAAGGGGCAAGAAGATGCGTCCCTTTGTCAGCATGGGTTATGGCCTTGAGCACTTATAATTTTTTCTTCAAACGCACGGCTTACTTTCAGTGTGATCGCAAGCACAAGTGCACCCACATGCTGGCCTCTCCTGGCGGCCACGGTAACTCTGGAGATCATGGTGCTGAAATCAGCCAATAGTCGGGGGCATGTGGGGCAGTGATTTGGGTACATGGCATCATTTGTAGAGAGAAGAGGGTATAATTTCTAGCTGACTTTGAGATTTAATTGGAAATTCCTGGGTATATTGTTTGGCTCATATATATTCAGGAGCCTCTATTACCAATCGGCAGCTTTTTATAACCATGCTAAAAAAGTGGTGGGGGGCATCTGTAATGGAACACAGTAGCAAGTTGAGCATCCTTCCTGTCAGTCCTGTGTCCTTTTAAATGGTGCAGTTATTTTCCAAAAATTACCTCCTCTTCATCTTATCAATTTCCTGAGAGCTATGGCCCGCTATCTACATTAGTGCTCCATTAATGGCCTAAGCGGAGTGGAGCAATAAGCCAATTGAGCCTTAAGGCAGTTGCAGTATTAAGCGTGCCAAAGCATTTTTGCTCTGATCATTTGTAAAGTATTAGGTTGAGAAGTTACAAAGGAAGTGGTGAAATTACAACATGGCACTCTGTAATAGTGTGTATGTGTAACATGCAAGTGGACTGATTTACGCTTTACTGCAGAATTGTCACTTGAGTTGGATGATGACAACAAGGACAAAATCACAGCCATTAGTGGGATTGGCAAAGTGAATCAAGCTTTTATAACTGACTTTTATACTCTGATAAAGAAGCAGTGATGACAAGGCAGAAGGTAGCCAGTGACCTCACTGGTATTTGTGGTCACCTGATAGCACTTTTTCATGAGTAGGCCAAGTACGTCAGGAGTCCCTGAGTATTTTCAAAATTGAAACTGCCCCAGTCGTAACATATGAGCATACAATTAAACATTCTTCTTGCACTGAGGTTATGAGTTGCACTGCTACTACTAATGAGTCAGTAGCCACCCATTAAGAGCAAAAAAACAGGGGTTCACTAATTTTGTGTACGCACTCCTTCAAAATGCACATGATACACTGTTGCATGTATTGGAAACACAGATAGTGATATACGATTGCGAAACATAATAATGCAATAAAGATACAAAATACACAGAGTATCTAAGATAGTATCTAAGATAACAAAACGCTGAGCTAGTTGGTAAACATTCATTCTAAAAGGACAGGGCCGTACATCTCTGTGTTTGTGGCATCGTGCATTTTTTCTTGCATCTGTTTTTGCGTGCCCTGTCTTTTTAGAATATACCTACGATACATGTGTTTTTGATACTACCCAGTACTGTTCACTGTCACCATTGAATTATCACTGGCATGGAATGAATAAATGAACGAATGAATGAATGAGAGAGACTCACCAGCGGCGAGCAAGTCATTTGTCAGTTTGAGTGCATGATGAATATTTCCTTGCTGTGAAAAAAATAACAAGAAGTATTGCAACATTCAAAACTTGATGCCAATAAGAGAAAATCCCGTTGAAAGAAAAGCGGTGAAATTATATACTGGAGAAATGAGCTGACAATCAAAAACAGCCACTTGGGTAATGTTTTTGTGCCATTGGAAAGGTGATTACTCTACACAATCCGACACATAGTACATAGCAGTACATCTGCATAGAATAAAAACATACTGATATGGCATATTTACTTAAGTGCGGATAATGGGCAGGTCACAGCAGTTTTTTTTCTTTGCCAGCAACAATGCATGAGTTGTTTGAAGCACGGAAACGTATCTATAGAAAAATTGATAGAGGTAAAATATATTTTTGTTACATTATGCATTGAATCTTATTAGAAAGCTGTTGACTAGTGTGAAAAAAGTGCACTGTTTGCACCAAACATCACCAATGCATAGTAGTTGTGATGGTCATGCGTGTATAATAATTTAAACAAATGATAGAAGTAATGTACCCCTTCTACAACCCGTGACGGTTTTTGTGTTTTGCTGCTTGTGGTGTTTCAGGTGAACCAACCATTAAACCATGTTTAGTTCTATGACTAAATCATGGTTTCCCAGAGCAGAGATGATGCTGACCAAATGCATAACCAACTATGTACACCTGTATAGAAAAGGCACAAAAGAAGGATAAGAGTTCACTGCCAGATGCTCTTCCATTAACATCTGTGTTGCCATCTGTTGTATGGTCAAAGGTTAATCAGTGCATAGTGCTCAGCCTCAAGACTATCTGAGATGATTCATTTTTTAGCTTTTTGTAATGGAATAGGGGGGATACTTGGCAATATTACTGTCAATGCCAATTTGTTTGTAACATAGCTGTTTCAAAAATTTCGGGGGTGCTTATAATATTCTGCCTGAGAAATTAAACTTTTTCCCACAAATTTGCAAGAAATGCATGACAAGCACATAACAATGGAACAAGAGCTATGAAAAGAAATAAAAGAACCAGAGCAATCAATGCCAATTTGTTTATAACATAGCTGTTTCAAAAATTTTGGGGGTGCTTATAATATTCTGCCTGAGAAATTAAACTTTTTCCCATAAATTTGCAAGAGATGCATGACAAGTACATAACGATGGAACAAGAGCTATGGAAAGAAATAAAAGAACCAGAGCAATCCGACAAGCTTTTTCAACAAAAAGTTCAATGTAATGGCACGCCTACGAAAATGAGCACTTACTAAAATTCGTAAAATTCCCCGATAAGAAAATGGCACACAATTGTTTAATCTTCCAATTTACTAAAACCTAACCACACAGACTGCATAAGATGACATAATCTGACCTTGACGCTCGTACACTGCTCAAGAGATAAGTAGCACAAACAAAAATATGGAAGGAATGTTAAGTATTGCATCGACATGCACTGATGACAAAGTAGAAGCAGTCATACAAAAACCAAGAATGTTTTGTGCCACCTCTCGAGACACAAAAGTAAATAAAAACAAGCATTGCTACAATGTATCATACATGCATGGAAATCAGAGAGCAAATTAGGGAACAAGAAAACCTATTTATAAAAGCTTGCCCTTTGTGCAGACCTTTAATAGGATACATAGGCCCTTCATTAACCTTTCATAACAGCATGCAAGAATATAATAGCAAAATTGCAACTTGTTTCTGAATCATAGCGACTTTTTCAACATCCTTGCTGCTGACAATTTGAAAATTTTCTAAACGTGTCCCTATAAACTTACTCAAAGCAAGTACTTCCCTCGTTTCCTTTTACCATCAGACTTCTAACAAAATGTTAAACAAATTAAAACAAATTTACAAGTTTGTCCTCTTACCTTTGTCAATTTTTTCAAATTTGCGAGAGACTTGTCAGAGATGCAGAAGCTCACCTGAAAAGTGGAGAACGCAAGATACTCCAGAATTTCAGTCCTGTCAGCAGTCTTGTCCACTTCTTCATCAACTCTGTCAAGTGCCTCTTGCATCCACAATACTGTATGGTAATGGTCTTCATTGTTGTATGACTGCCGGCCCAGCTCAAAGCAATCACCCGCTGTTGATAGGAAGATGCAAAGGCACAAAATACAGTCGGAACACTTTAGAACCATTCAGCAGCAATGATAAATAAGCATCTCTATTGTCATAGGCTGCAGCACTTGAGAACAAATAACACCTTCAATCTTCAAAATATCTCAAATTACTGCTGCCCTGTCAGTGAGACTCAACCTAAACCAACAAATTTTATTTTATCAACACATCAAAGTTCCTGAAACCTCTGAAGGAATTTCATCTGGCTTGTCATACATTGTGTTTGTGACCAATCTCTGGCTAACTCTTATGCTGCAGTTTTAGATTATTTAATTAAATAAGCAGACCATGAAGTAGCAATGAGCATATGAACATGATTTACTGCAAAAAAGATTTGTGCAGAAATTATCAAAATGCTAAGACTCAATCTGCTCAGCCACATGAGCCACAGCAACATTACTCAAGAATTCAATGTATTCTATAGAAATATTCCGGAGAGATGAATCAATTTTATATAAAAAATTTCAAAAGATCATTTTATTAAATTATTAATGTTCTATAACCAACTATCTACTGAAAATAATGGCAAACATTGCATTATACTCAAAAAGAGAATGCTTCAACTAATGTTATAAACACCACTGTTTGTTGTTTATGACTGTGTCTGTTGAGAATGTTTGTTTCATACTTTTTTGCTTCTTCTCTTATTGCTTTGCTTTATGTATTTCTATTTGACTATTGTGACAAGTAAGAATGCTTGTTAATGTTTGCTGCTGCTGTTATTGTTCTGGGAGGTGGGACTAGTCAAGCTGCCTACATGCAGCTTTTATCCCACCATCCTTGTTGTTTAAACATGTTTTTGATATATGTGGCAATAAAGTTCACTTCACTTATATTAGGAGTCATCTATGTTATAGCTGAGAGTACATTAATATATGTCACAGGTATGGTGTCGAATAATTGCTACAACTACCCACTAGAAACGCTTTTAACTGAAGCACTTTCATTGATCATGTGCTAACAAACCTGCTTCATCCCCCTGAGACTTTTGTTGTAAGAAGAAATATAACAGATAATTCTCCAACTGTACGCATTGAGTTTTCAATGTCTTATTCATGCCTTTAAAACTATGTATGTATACAAAATGAATATTTGATAAAGATCACTATAAAACGTTAGCCACCAGATCAGACTGGTCACTCGTTACATCATTGAATAATTCTGAGGCCTCTTAATATAAACTCGTAGACCTAATTAAGGACTCTATATCCTCATCTACAATGGTGGTTAAGTGTTGCAAACATATCACTTTTACCTCAAATCTCTGAGTTACAACAGGATTGTTGAAAAGCATGCGTAAGAAAAAAAAACAACGCATATTGCAAACGTAAAAGTCAGTTATTTAACCAAATATTTAAAGTTCGACACAGGAAGTTTTGCACTTTGTTAACTCAGCTGCTTAAAACAGCGAAGAAAACTGATATTGAAAATTTAATACTTAAAACCGGGCATGATTCGTGAAAACAATGGCAGATACCTAATACAGTTGAATCGCGATATTTCAAACTCGGAGGGGCCCGAAAATTTGCTCGAATTAAAAGAAGTTCGAATTAATGAAAGCTAAGCAAACAGAGGGCTCCTCATGCAGTGGCGCATGTGCACTGAGCTAACACATGAGGGAAAAGTTTCAAAAGACTTACACTTATTCACAAATCACAGGACATCCGTCATTAATTGAAATAATCGGTGATGCGCGTCTGCACACATTTGCCTTGCAGCGAGTCAATCAATTTCGCACACAGCTTGCAAAGCATGTCTACTTTGGCTACAGCATTCTCCTGGCAAGAGAATTCGCGTGCGGCAATGTCCAGCACCGACGCTCTCTAAAGACGATGACAACGACGACTGCATCTCCGCTAGTACCCTCTGCGCCAAAGCCGTAGCATGGCCAGCACGTGACGAGAAAGGAGGAGCGTCTCCACGCGGAGAGAAGCAGATCATTTGATAGAAAACCAACACTCCACAAGAGCTTTTTTTTTTTTGCTCTCTTCGTGCACGTTGTTGAAAGAACAAGGGTTACGTGGCAGGGATGGGAAAAGAGGAAGCGTGGCACCGGCCCATGAGGGAAAGCCATACTCTGCAACAGCTTTCTTTTTAAAGACTAGTCTTTCTTGGGGACCTTCGACAAAAAAAATTTTGGTCTGTCTGTCTGTACATTTGTCTGTTTGTCCGCCCTAACGATACCTCAAACGGCACCAAACGGCCAACCCCATGTGCAGCGCCCACCAATGTTGCTCAAGGTTCAGCGTTCATAGTTGTGCAATTGTCAAATAAAGAGCAATTATTGCGGATATCTGAGGCACCACAACAACGCTTCGATGTTTTGTATGTCTGACTTTATACTAGAAGAGGCCCACACAAGTAACTCTAAGGAATGTAGCGTTTAATCACTCTGCGCTGAGAGTGCAACGCGATGCTCAAAAAGGTGTTTCCAACGCTTTGCTACGACATCACGGTGGTGGCACCTGCCCGTCGCTTTGCGTTCTATACCTTATCACCTCCGAGACTGAACGTATCTTTCTCCGCGGGCTGCACGCCTTAGTTTTCGAAGATAACTGCCAGATGGCACTTGTGTCTAACGTGCCTCGATGCGCTCGTTCGCCTCCGCTACACGCTCGAGGCACTGTAACGCAGCGCCTGCAGAATACCATTAACCGATTTTCTTATGCAGAACATCAAATAAACGTTTTGTTCACTCTCTCCAGATGCAAGATTATCGTCTTTCGACGACATTTGCGGTGTAACATGAAGATTTGGAACCAATTTTTTTTCTCTCTCTCTCTTCGCATGTGGCGTTGGAAGGAGAAGGGTCTTTACGTGGCAGGGGCAGAAAAGGGGGAAGTGGGGCACAGGTGGGTCATAGATCGGCATTTTGACGGAGAGTAAACATTCTAACGCAGCTTTTTCTTTTTTTTTCATTTCCTTTGCGCGCAGCGTTGAGGTGTCGGAGGCTGGATTGGGCGGGGTTTGGTTTGGTTTGGGAAAACTTTATTGTGAAAGTCCGAAGGCGTGTGCCCTAGCACACGGCAGGCCGCTCCCACGATAGGACAGTAAGGCCGAGGCCTAGCGCCGCATCGTGGGCCCTCTGAACAGCCCAAAGTTGCGATGTTATGTCCCGACTCCGGAGAGCGGAGTCCCACTTTCTGGACGATGCTTTATCGGTGCCGCGTACCGAAGGGCACTCCCAGAGCATTTTCGAAGCGCGGTATGTTATAATTAACTGTCGCAAGTGCTTGCATGTTCGAATTACCGGGCATTTTCGCCCATTGAAATACACATAGCTTTGACGGGACCTCATTGTGAGTTCGAATTAACTGGAAGTTCGAATTAAGTGTGTTCGAATAAATAAGATTTGACTGTATATTTCTAAATAAAAATCCCATTGGGAAAAGCATAACAACACATCAAGAACGTGGCCGCGTACTCAATAATCCTACAGATATTGCACGTAGCGTTCAGCAACTCTTGAAATTCTATTCCTGATGTCCCAAATGTTGACTACACTCTCATATCATGCCTGACGCCACAGTCATTTCATCTCTTCCTAACTTATCCAAGTGCAATTCGTGATACGATCATGAATCATAAAAATTGTAGTCCTGGTTTAGATTCGATTTGCTGCCATCATATCACGGACGTTGTTGACAATATAAGCGAAGCATTCTGTCATATTGTCAATCTAATTTGCAAAACATCAGTGTTTCTTAATGACATGAAGAGATAAAAAATTATTTCAGAGTATAAAACAAAAGATGCCACCTCATTAGCAAAGTACAGGCCTATATCTATTTAACTGTGTTTTATTAAAGTTGTTGAAAAACTGGTTGAAAAATGCCTTTCTAACTATATGGATAAGTATAAACTGTTAAAGCCAAGACGATTTTGTTTTCGTCACGGATATTCCACTGACTTAGCTTTGATTGCACTGACTGACAACATCAAAGCAGAAATTGATCAAGGCAAGTATGTCTGATCTGTTTTTATTGATTACCCAAAAGCATTTGATTTGCTAAATCACAGCATTCTCTTTTCTACACTCAATGCTCAAGGCATAACAGGTCCATCTTTGGAGCTTCTGCGCAGTTACTTAGACAATCGACAACAACAGGTTTGCATTTCAGGAATATTGTCTGACACACAAATAATTAACAATGGGGTTCCACAGGGGTCTATTCTATACTCAGACCGTTGTTATTCCTCATATATATTAATGATTTTCCGAACTGCCTCACTTACACATCATGTCTTCTGTACATGTATGACACTACGGTTTACACTTCTGATAACGACATAAATGCACTGACAGACAAACTGAACAATGAGCTAAGTACTAATATTAGTTGTGGGTGCCCAAAAAATAAGTTGCTCTTGAAACCACAGAATGCAAAATACACGGTTCTTAATTTGCACAATAAACCTTGATTTAATATTGCTCTATTGTACATAGGATTCCAACCAATACCATCATCTAATGAACGTTCTTTCTAAGATATTCAACTTGATTCATTTTTGAAATTTAACATTCACATCAACTTCTGAAAAAAGAAAATAGCATACGGTGTCAGCGTGCGCTTGCAAGACACTACTTTCACAGGCACACTCTTTTATCACGATAGTGTTAAAGAGCTCATTTCGCACAAATTCCGGTGTCGGCGTCAATGGTTGTGATGAAAAAATCATCTTATACGTGGCCAAAAAATTGAGAACAATGCAAATAAAATAAATAAATGATAAAAAATCTTGGAGCAGAGTTGGGATTGAACCAGGGTTGTTTAGGTCCGAGTGGAGATCCAATCCCGGTCGTTTGCATGGCAAGTGGATGTTCTACCACACGGCCACGCCTCTGCTGGTGAAAACAGTGAAAAGGACATCCTCTCCTTTTAAATGCAGGGAAAGTAGCTTTCATTTTTTAGAAACACATGCGTCCTATATACATACTTCACAATACAACATGAAATACTGCATAGTACAAGCGTCCACTACCAATGGTCGTCAGAATATGCGATTATCATAATGGCAGCGTGGCTGAAAGCCGGTAACCCACTACAAAAGGCACACACGCTACTGTGCCTTTTCCCTTAAGGCCATGTATAGTGGGTGCATAGCAAATTCGAAAAGGTTTCATGCGCTAAGTGTTTGAAATACGCACTAGGCATAGGATGTTGCTATCGCATTCAACTCCTAAAGGCGACGCTTTAGGGTCCCCTGATTTTTTTTTGACATTATCTTATGCCTTCATCTTCAGTCACATAAATTATTGCATAGCATCATGGGACCTCACAAGTCACTGTAATATAGCCCCCTTACAACACATTTAAAATAATGCTGTTTGCATTATCACTTCAGCTTCTTATAATGCCCATGTTACATCCCTTTTCACCGAGTTAAATTTTCTCACAATAAATCAGCTCATCAACTTTAATCACGGCATTGTCATTTATTGTATGCTTAAAAACCCACAATTACTTTACGTCATTGGTCAGAGCATTTCTGCTAATCCAAATAATATATTAGGTTCTCTTCACAGAACAACATTTTACTTCCGAAGTCACAAAGCAACTACAGAAAACTAACTGTTGCTTTTGAAAATCTCAAAGTATAGGATGATGTGCCGATTGACTTAAAATGTTCACCTACACAGTCATCATATCAGCGATTATTAAAAACTTATAAAGTTTCTTTGTGACCTCTACCGATTCTTTATTTGCTTCATTTTCTTAGTTTTTTTCATAATTTATTTATAAGCTCAACACTTTCAGTGTATTTTTTTCCCTTTGGTTTATGTTATGTAACGAAATGTTTTGCTACCACATGCTTCTTTATCACTGTACGGAATATGTAGCTCTCGTATATGTTTGTTTTCAACCGATGCTTGTTTAGTTTTGTTGCGTAATTAATAACAAGAGGTTCCGCTGCAGTTTCTTAACTGTGGAACCTCTTTCTGTATACTTTTGTCGTTGTGTAATACCATGACAAATAATAAAGTTGAACTTAAAAAACTTGAGAACACTTTCTGACTTATGCACAGTGACTGGTGGCTGTAACGTTATGTTCAAACAGCCACCAGTGAACTGGGCAAGCGATAGATGACTAATGAAGACACTGGGCGCTACAAATGCGTTCAACCTCATCATAAACAAACAGTGGAATGAAGAAATCTCTGTCTTTTTTTTTTCCACGGCAATGCATTAACAGACGCAAGGAATGCCGGTAAAAACGTGTGACAAAAGAACGCTTGACTGGTTAATTAAACATCACTTATTGCTTTATCCTGCTGATATAATGTGTTTTATTTAACTATACATTAAGTACCTACATTGCAAGTGAAACTGCTCATGCTGAAAGGGGCACTGACAAAAAAATTTTGACCTCACATTTTTTTGCTGCAATTTTTTGCTGGGGGCCTGCTAGTAGTAACATGACACATCTGCTGCAAAAGAACAGATGATTAATTATAGGCTCCTCATTACCTACCAATCTCTGTTTTGGTTTGAGAGAGCTCCAAACATGACGAGCCACCGGGCGCGACCATCACCACCTAGCATGAGCAATGCTTGACCTCAACAGCACACAAAACTGAGAAGCACTTCTGCCCAGCACACATCAAAAAGTCCGCACAAACAGGAAACGGGACAGCAGTGTCCAAAACTTTCAACGTGCGCACCGTGGCCATTGACTTTTGAGCCGCTGCACCAAAATAGTCTGCTCAGCAAATGCGGTAAAAAGTAAGATGGCGGCTATGACATCATCTTAACTTGTATTGACTGCAGTGTGGTGACGTGAGGCAAGGGGGGGGGGGGGGTGACTATGGGTCACTTATGAGGGGGCGGTGCTCGATCGCGTATACTAACTTCAAAATTCACGTAAAATACCTTCCAAGCTATGTTCGCTGTTCATATTTTTGCAGATCATATACGCATATTCATAGGAATCGATTCCACACGCTATCTCAGCTGCAAAATTTCGTGTTTATACCCCTTTAATGTATGCTTACTTGGTTGAAACACTGAGACAAGTTTCAATTTGATGTATTTATCCTCAAGATCTATCACTGAATGTACTGAACCGCCTTAGCTTCATCAAACACTATATGAGAGAAGTTTTTATAAAGAAAAATACTACGCATAATGAAAATGCAATTCTTTGCAGGCTTAAAAAGCATATCTTGAAACTGGCCCATATGTCCTACTAAATGGACATTCCTTGAGCACTGCATGACCACCTTCACTTTCACAGAATATCAATGCTAGTATCTTAGTTATTCAGTGATGATCACATATTTAACATTGTGAACAGCTATGAAGAATGTATCACTGAAAAAAGAAAAAAAGAACTTTTTTTAAATCTTAAGAACGTTTTGCTATTTCACTTTTAGTTGACCTTGATAATGCAAATGTTTTTTAAGGCAATTGCTAAATCATCGATCAGTTTGATATATATGAACTTTACTTTAAGCTTCATCTTTGGGCCAGGAGGTGCACTTATTGGGAAATCGGTTTTGCTCGAAAGACCGTTCATTTACACCTCTACCAGCCCTCAACAAACAAATTTTCGGTGTTCGAAAACAACTCTCTTGAAATAATGCATGAGGTCTCTGTCTGTTCATGGCAGAAACAAAGGCCATTGCACGATATCTATGCTATCAGATCCAGAACAGAAAATATGTGGAAGACCAAGCAACAAACAACAAATAAATGAAGCAGACTAGTGCTACATACCAGAAAGTTCTGGGGATGGCCTAGTAACACCTTGAATACGGCCCTTTGCCAGACTTGCGGTATCTAAGCGGTATGTGTCTTGCAGCCTAAGCAAAGCAACTGCTGCTCCTGTGAGGTCTTCTTCATCTGGGAAGCGCAGGTGGCCAGAGTGTGTTATATTCTCCACCATCGCTGCAGCAAGTACGAAAAAAGGATAAGATCATGAAGAATAATCAAGGTTCAAGAGGCATATATTATTAATTTTCCCCAGCAGTTTCCCAGTGGTTTATTACTGTCTGCAGGAGGCATATGTTTTCGCAAACTACTTATGTGTGAACTTAAAGCCACCGAACTTACACAAAACTGACAAAGCCTGGCGACCCCCTAAATGCTTAAAGTACAGAAAATAAAAAAACACCAAAGAACAAAGAAGTTGAAACACAACTACTCTTTAAATATCACCAGGCACATTGTATGAATCCCGTCAACACAACGAGATACACAGCTTTTTATGATAGAGGAAAGAAAGGTATGTAGATGAACACGCATAATTTATTTGTTTTAAGCAATAAAAATCTGATCCTGCAGCAGCTTAAAGAAACGCTGAAGAATATTTGAGGTGCCTAAAAACATGATTACGCTGCATCTAAAAATCCAATATTAGTGGATGATAGTGTAGTGACATGTTATGAAGCTTGATCAAACCACAATTACAGACACATTTCCTCTTGTCTAATGAGTGTGCCTGCCAAAGACAGGTTTAGAAAGGCAGCATGTTAACAATAACATTGCTGCAGAAAGTTTTCACCCACAACAAAACAATGTATGTTTTGTTACAGCAATAATTACTGTATTTGTCTGTTTGCACTCTGCACCACCAGTTGGCATCACCATCTTACAACACTCGATAACCTGGAATTCTGCTAATACTCAGAATTTTACAAACAAAATAAATATCTCTAATAGAGAAAAGGAGTAACATAACAGTTGCAGATATGAACAGTAGTGTATGAAATAAAAGGTCATTGCTTTAACACAAGAACCCCAAGCAAATATGAACAAACAAATCTAAAAAGTAACCTCTAGTCTCTTTTTTCTCTGTTCAGCCATACAATGTGCAGAAATTATCTTGTTAGGCTACCACTCCACAAGTGAAATTTGTAGCACTTAAAATAAGGTGTTTAATGACTGCTAGAAAGCTCAATTAAAATTTATTTCGTGCGTTCATTTTTCTAAATGTTAAAGGAAAATAGATCAGTGTCCCAAGATGATGAATTTATAGCTCTAACCCTGAAAAAAAAAAGACAATATCAGGGCAAATAGCACATTTAAAGTAGGCAAAATCAATATTTAAACTTACATCTGATGTGAAACTTTCATTACCTACATTAGTTAGCAGACATTTTTTATTCATCCGGTATCACTGGTGTTCCGAAAGCAGAAAGAAAAGTATATGATGATTTGATCATGGATGTGTTCCCTAAAGCACTGCCGTGTGTTGGTATAAAGAAGCTCTCATAAAATTTTAGCACCAGCAGACAATGACGAAAGAAAGGCGTAGAGATCACAATACACTAACTTCAATAGCCAGGACGTCATGTCGAAAAAGTTGTCAGCAGAGCTAATACTCTGCGTACTATGTGAACTTGCACAATTACGCATTAAAACATGATATATTACTGATTTCAATCTCTCTGTGATACTTATTTTATATTCTGATTTGTGCAACCTTATACTTCTAGTCAGTCTTCTAGCAACTCCATATCTTTTGTACTCTTCTGCAATATTCACCAAAGTGCTTACTTAATGAAACTGACTAAGCATGGGAAAAGGATTACTAGAAGAATTTCTCATAAAGAAGAGAGGGCGGGGTGCATTAGCATCACTCTGGACATGAATAAATTTAGATTCTCCAACTCTTATATAAGATAGCAAATTTGTAACTAAATCCACTTTTTTTTTATTGAATGCATCTGTGCAGTGCCACGTGTGTGTGTGTGTGTGTGTTTCAAGACAGTGTTGTAGACAAACAGCTCTAAGTGGTGCTCGTCTCTTGTGTATCTTTCTTGTGTGCTGTGTTTTTCGTGCGCTAAGTAAATCTTGTCAGTATGCACCACCTAGGCTCTCAAAAGGTCCTATTATGCTTACTCTATTTTTCATCTTAGATCAATTTTAAGTATTTAGAAACTTGACTAGCTAAGAAGTATTGAATACTGGGCTATTGGGTATTGCATAATTAAGCTGAGAATCCCAAGCAGGGAGGAAGCTGACAATGGACGACATGTGCGTAAACTAACAACAGGGGTTTGTCATCAGAAATCGACAATATGAAGTAGAAAACATTGCCAAATTTTTTTTTGAAAAGCCTTTTTTTTATAGAGTATTCGGTTGCTCACTAAATGCTCTGTTACCTGTTGGCCACTGATAGAGTAAACAGTTCCTTGCATGGAAGTCAGTGGCACAGGAACGAGATTTCAATTCACTGAGGTTTATAGGATATAAGAGTCGTTATGCAGTGTTTGCTAATATTGATTCTGTTACTATGATCCAATTTAAAATATGCTAAGATGACAATGAATAAGAGAGAGACATACAGCCACAGGCCCCTGTGTGTGTGAATTACGTTCGAAAAATATAGGCAGGTTGGGAAACAAATTGTCACCCTGAATTTGCATAAGACCACCAAATGCCCAGGTTTTCCCTGTTTAATGAACTCTATTACTATATGCTACAGATTTGACTTCACTACATTCTCCCCCTGCTCATATATTTCTTTGTACATTATTCACAGTTATAAGGTCTATATTAACAAAAGCTGCTTTAAAGGGCCAGAAAAAGGCTCTCACTTTTTTTTTACACCTCCATACAAGCTCGGCAATTCGTAGATTAGACCGCAGCGATCACAATTTCTGAATATTACAGCGCTGCGTGCCATGCAGAGCCTCTATTTCGAAAAACGATTTCCGCGCATCTTTCCTACGCCTGACCGACCCCCTTGCACGCGCAGTGACGTCACCTCGGCAATCGGCGATGTGACGTAGCCCGAAGCTCGCCGAAACAGCTCGCCGATTGGTCTAAATCAGGTGTGAAAAAACAGTAGTGAAGTCAACATCAGTTCCTGTTCCCACCCACAGCGACGAAACTGCCCCTTGTTTCTTGGCATTGCGGTGAAAGAACTAGTTTTGCAGTTGTCGTGTGCATGTGTACACTCCTCGCTCAACTACAACGCCTGTACACATGTACGAATGTACTTCGCCCTTGGCATGAGCAACACGGGTAAAAAGCGTTGCTCTGACGTCGGTTGCAAATCGAGCGACTGGGCAGCGGAGAAGCATCGGCACTGGGTGCCTCCCGACGGGGCCCTGCGCGCTGCATGGCCGAAGCTAATCGGCCATCTAGCGACGTACGTCGGGGACCTAATCCTTTGTGGTCGACACTTCGCATCTGACGCTTACATGGTTGACCCGCGGCTGGTGCGGCAAACGGTAAACAACCACGCTTCACAGCAAGCGGAAGTGCATTGCGACTGATCGAGTTCGCTGATGACATCAATCGCTGACGTGGTGTCACGTTGCCGAAGTAGGTTGAGTCACGACGATGGGCTACGCCTTCCCCTTCATGGAAGGGAGAAGGGGGGTGAGGCTGCGCAAAAATTTGAAACCAGCTAAGACCGATGTTCTAACCCCTGTAACTTCCTTAATATAGCACGTATTTGCAAAATTCTTGTGGCAGCATGTTTGCAAAGAGAAACTGCACATATATCTCATTTTAAAATTTTTTGGACCTAAGGGCTATTTACTGGCCCTTTAAGGCTTTACTCATTTATCTCACGAATTTTAGTGGACTGGAATTGTTTTTCCATATTACTGATTTCCGTACAAGAGATTGTTTACCTCTGTCACTAACTAATAGTGCAGTGTGGCTTTAACGCGACAGCGTTAAAGCGCTCATTTCGCAGAAATTCCAGTGTCAGTGTCAGTGTCGTTGATTGTGAGCGAAAAATAATCATGTTATGCGTGACCAAAAAATTGAGAACGATGCAAATAAAATAAATAAATGATGAAAAATCCTGGATCAGAGTGGGAACTGAACCAGGGTCGTTTGTGTCCAAGTGGGGTTCGAACCCGGGTCATTTGCGTGGCAAGTGGATGTTTTACCACACGGCCACGCCTTTGCTTGTGAAAACAGTAAAAAAAAATTTCTCTGCTTGGAAATGCAGTAAAAGTAGCTTTCATGCTTCACAAACACGCACGTCTTGTATATACATGCTTCACAATGCAACATGAAACATAGCAGTAATAATGCGTGGTACAAGTGTCCATTGCTAAAGGGCGTCAGAATATGCGGTCATCACAATGGCTCCGTGGTTGAAAGGTGGTACCCCACTACAAAAGGCACACATGCTACTTCGCCTATTCCCTAAATGCCACATAGTGGGTGCATAGAGAATTCGAAAAGGTTTCATGTACAGTTTTAAGTATGCACTAAGAATAGGATGTCGCTATCGCATTCAAATCCTGAGGGCAAAGCTTTAAGGTCTCCTAATTTTTTTCAGGCAATCCAGATTTTTTACAAAGATCCCTCGAAAGTAAAGCTCCTGTTGTTTTCATACACGCACGCCTTAGCGAGGGGGAATACATTGATGCAGCTGAAACGAGACTGTTGTGACTACTTAATAAAAAGTCATTTATTAACTTTTTCATTACTTACTTATGAGCAGGTGTTTTTATTACAAAGTTATAGTGCGTGGCAATTTATGGCATACCCATTTCTTAGAAATCACAAATGGCCCCGCCGCGGCAGTCTAGTGGCTAAGGTACTTGGCTGCTGACCCCCAGGTTACGGGATCGAAACCCAGCTGCGGTGGCTGTATTTTCGATGGAGGCGAAAATGCTGTAGGCCCGTGTGCACAGATTTGGGTGCACGTTAAAGAACCCCAGGAGGTCAAAATTTCTGGAGCCCTCCACTATAGCGTCTCTCTTAATCATACGGTGGTTTTAGGACACTAAACCCCACATATCAATCAATGAATCACAAATGCTGCTTGTAGTTTGAGATATTCATCATTGAATTTCAAAGGAAGAAGTGAAAAAAATTGATTGCCCCCAGCGCACATGAAGTGCAACCATTCTGTAACATCAGAGCAGAACTACCTCTGACAATGAAGTGACGAAATTTGAATGAAGGCACACTGCGGCTGTATCTTTTTATGAAAACTGCAAGTCATCTCTCTTGTGCAAGCACATCACCTTAATTTTGTGTGCAGTGTTTGGTGCTTGTCTGTTTCGTTCGAGCTGTGCACAAGAAAACCGCAATATCAAGCTTTCCTTTGACTGGGAAGCATAAAACTAGGGGGCAGCTACTGCGGCACTTATTGCAGGCAGGCGAAATAGTTCTTCATGCCTCTTTATAGTTTAAGAAAGAAACAAACTAGCACTATACATTGCATACAAGTATCAAGTTATTAGTATAATTTAGACTGCTGGCTGATTTTTCTGACCCGACTCTGCTTCGGCATGTGTTCATTCAAATTTCATAACTTTCTTGTCACAGGAGGTCCAGTATGACAAAAGAGTGATGTCACACTGTGAGCGTGCCATGCATGATCAGTTTTGATTTTTCCTTTGAAATTTAATGATGAATATCTTGAACTACGTGCAACTTTTGTGATCTCTAAAAACTGGCTATGCTGCAAATTATTGTACACTATAATTTTCCAACATAAACAACAGTACTCAAGTCAATAATTAGAAAGTAAGTAGTTAGCTTCTGTTAATTAGTCACATCAATGTTATTTTAACTGCAAGAAATATTTCCACCTCTCTATAGGATTCATGTGCAAATACAAGAGCCTGACTGCCATAGAACTTTTACAAAAAACTCATAATGTCTAAAAAGAAACACCCTGCATAAGGACTTTCATGAGCAACCAAATACTCAATGAAAAAAAAAAACTACATAAAAAGGATAACAATGTATAATCAAGAATATATCTTGTTTTTTTTAATCACACAGCTTTCTAGTGTAACACTTTTGTGCTTGAGCGTATAAATAAATTAAACGGAATATGTGAAAGTGGATGGTGGCCCTGCAAAAACTTCACAATGCATTTTTCTAAAAACTGTTGATTGAATTAAGTTACATAACCAGCTTCCCTGCAAATTCTTTGAATGAACATGTTCACCTGATTTCCTAGCTTATAAATACGTATCACTTCTTTCCAAGCTTTTTTTCATAGTACCATCTATTGCCTGGTGTTCTTAAAATGTAACCACCTCTTCCTGGATGGCTTGTAGCTGCCCCCTACCCACTATACTGCTGCTGGAACCCTTCCCTACTGTGCATCACTCTATGCTGCCTCTAAAGCATCTTTAGCTGTGAGTGGTGGCAATCTGAAGTCACATGCCTTACTGCAGTGGCACAGCTGACAGTTGCACATCTGTCGCTGACAGCAGAGTGGTATCCCGCCTTTACTCACCTTTTCCTTCTGTATTCAGCATCAGTCTTGAAATAGTTTTCCAATCAGCTGTGAGCTTCTTTACAAGAAGAAATGCATTTACAGGATTGGAGATGAATTCATCACCATCTCTACTGGCAGCCTTGTGCAGCTGGCTGAATTCTTGTCGAAGCCTTGAAATAAATTATTACGAAATGTACAAATGAGATGAAGATTAAACAAGACCGACTAACTTGTTTAGTTAATATGCAGTTTTAGGCAACAAACACGGCAGTGATAATTACCAAGCAGCAATAAATGTACGGCTCTTAGAGCACACTCCCAGCTAAGTTTAAGAAATCAAGCATGCAAGACAAACATCTTTATAAGTACAATAAACACCATTTGCAGTACCACTATACTACTTCAGTTGAAAAAAACCCTTTCAGCAAATGCTTTGATAGAAGAAATATCAAAGCCAGAAGAGGGTTTATAATAGCTGAATCCCTTATTTGCACAATTATTCATGTAGACCAACTTCTAAGACAGTGTCATAACACGGAAGGACTTTACAGACTTTTTTCTACAAATATATATATATTTGAATCAAGAGCAAAGATGTATTTTTCTCCAAAGTGTGCAGGCACACAGGTACGTGTTTACACACTCACATACATACACAAACATACATACAAAATCTGTGTGTGTGAGAAAGAAAATTCAGTTAGTCCAACAAAGAGAAGTGAAAACAACTTACTTTTTTATCTTCTCTAGCCTATCCTCTTCAGCATCCAGGTAACGTTGAAGAGTGTGAACGATGGCACCTTCTGTATGCAGAAGATTCTCTAGGTCGACCAAAGCAGTGTAAACTTCTCCCTGAGCTGGCGTACTCAGCATAATGAAGGAGCAAGCAGCCCCGATTATGCTCATGAATAGGTGCACAGTGGCCATTTTCACCCACCTAAAGCGACGAAAAATATAACAATCAGTAGAATAAAGGAGATGAAATAGTGAGACTACTTACCAACTTCAAAGTAAGTTTAAAAAACTTCACATAAGTGTCCCACAAATTTAGTATGGAGCTACCTATCTGCTAATAAAATATGTGCTTTTATTTCAAAGACAACTTTCAAGGCTGCAATTGCGTCAGAATAAATCTTGACGAACATACAGCATGTACCGGTTTATTTTATGACGATGTAATCACAGGTACATTACAAGTTTACTTGCACAGTAGCTTTCCAAACTGGGGCAGATCAAACAAATCAATACCTATACAGCAATATATTACTCGTCAAGTAAATATATAGCTAGCATTTATTCTACGAATATTCGATGACATTGGATATCAATTGATGATGTCACAGGCACAAAGATGCAATGTTGGACACATTAGGGTGACCATCAGCCCCCCCCCCCCACTCCCAACTCATAGAACTGTTCTGCATTGAGAAATATTATTCTGTGTCCAGCAAGAGATGAAAATCTTTAAAAATGTCACAAATTTCACACATTATTATTAATATTTAGCAGGAGGAATTTAATGGGGAATCCCAAGTCGCTTTTTTTTTACTATTTTGGCACTGCAGTTTCTATACCTAACAAGCTTTTAAGTGAAACTTTCAGCTGCTCTGGCACCACAATTTGTGTAATAATTGCTACAACCAAAAACTGTTCATCGCTGTATGTTGTTTCTGTAATACATCTAGTATTCCTGTTTATATTAAACCAATATACAGCCTTTAATAATGCACACACAATTAATGAAACTCTTACCCAAGATTTGGACTAGAACAACAAAACAAATATTCACCTGTACCTGACTGGCATCACGTCTTACTCTGTGCTCTCAAGCTTTATAATTCACTCAAATATAGTTACCTGACACCCAAAAGCTTTCTTCTGCATTATATAATTATCACAAAGGAGAATAGGAAATCGCCTGCCCCTAAAACGTACAGGTGTGGAATCAGTGATCGGTCTCAGCAAATGAAGTCGATCAAGAAAGCATTTTAAAAGTGGGAGTTGAAAAACATTGGATTTTACTTTAGATTTTCATTGCAATAACTTGCACAGCATCTTTTATGGGACTATAGCCAACTAAAACAGCTATTCCCCTACCCATGTAACCACGGATATTCGCTGGCTGTCCATTCTGAATACAAATGTCCGGCCATATGGATAACTAAAACGGATAGCCAATGGACGTTCTGTGAAAATCAATGTCCCGTGTGGCTGTTCTCTGGACGTCCAAACTGGATGTTGAACCGGACATTAAGTTTTGAACGTTGACTGGCAATCCATATAAGGACATGCCAAGGATATGTGCATTTGCTCATCAATTATTGTAAAATTAGAATGTAGCGAAAATTTATTAGAGATCTGCAGAATCCAGGGTGACAATCTCGTAAAATTTCATTAAAAAGGCTACCATAAAATTTATACAAATTTCGGCACACGCATTTGATGCTGAGGCAAAACAATCTGGTTGATTCAATATGTGTATTGTATGTCACAAGAAAGAATGTATTCAGTGTTATTACCACATGTGAACTAATGAAAATGCAGATCGAGCGCATCATAGCAGTCATTATGTAGGCAAACTTTCATGCGCCAGCCTCAACACTTCTCAACAAGCGGTGCACCGCAGTTGCTCAGATTCCTCGAACGTACACATCATGCTTGTCGTGCCCCTCTGGATGTTTTGGGAGAAAACGCGTGGCATTGTGCCTATTGTCCCGAAACCTGCTTGACCAGCGGCGCACACTGAGGGAAGGAGCATGGGAAAAGAGGGTGCTTGTGTCGCGTCAAAGGCGTGTACGCTGAGCCGATCTCCGAGTAGCAGAAGGCTGATTTTTTTTTTCTCAAGTGTGCCCGTGTGGACATCAACAGCAACATTTGAAGTTAAAAAGGATGACTTTTCTACAAGAAACACCAAAACACAGCATGAGCCCACCACTGCTTTCGGCAGAGATTACCATGGCAAGCAGCAGCAACCCCACTCACTCGCACGACACAGGTAAGGCCTCGTGTTACATACCAGTTCTTTACATCTAATATCAGACATTTAACTGTTCTTAGCACGTGTTAACTATTGTCCATCATTTGTATAAGCCCTGCTAATACGTGGAATGTTTTCACCTCTTCATTTGCTCGCATATTCCTTGTTATTAACCGATTTAAGACGAGCCTGTGGTCAGTGCCTGTACACCTTCTTTAGAGCATGCGCTACACCCATTAGTTTTTCTCCTGAGCTTGTCTGTATGTACGTATTATGGTTACTAGAATAGCATTGCCATAAACACGCGTGAGTTGGGTTCGTTGCTAATAACTTAATTTAATAAACTTGTAAAGAAGCAAACGCTGCCACCTAAGAAGTCATCGCACTTGAAGGGGGAAGGGCATTGAACACTGAAATCTTGTAAGACTATGTACACACTTTTAAAATCCCGACTGCAGACTGTGAGTTATGTGCTTCTTAGCCTTGATATATGTTGATAATAAAGGTTTGAGTGTTCTTAAAAGCCCACCTGGACTCAATTTATTTAGAATTTATTTGCAGCAGGAAAGCTCCCTCGGAAAAAATAGGGGCCTTTGAGTAGGCTGTGTGGGTACGTTGTTTACAAGAAAGGTTTTACTTGAATATGCACTAGCTATATGCGCACAAACATTATATATATCTATATCCTTTGAAGGGCCTGTCAATATCTATGTTGGCTGTCCTGAAGGGATGTCGAGCGAATGTACAAATTTGCTACCTTTGTATATGTGATGTATGTCCATCCGACGTACAGTGTACATTTGTGGTCATTTGATGGATGTCCAGAATATCCGAAACATATGTCCCATCGTATGCCCACCCGATATCCGTGGTTACTTGGGTAGGTAATACCCCCCTCTCCCTCGTTACATTCTCATACATGGTTCAGAACTATTTTGCTTATACATACTACTTACACTTTACCATCACTCCCTCATTGATTTCATTATAAATGTTAAATGTGGGAGGTGAAGAAAAGGGAAACTATGGATAGCCGTAGTCAACATTTAAGAGTTCTTACATTTTTGTCCATTACTCGCACTATTGTAATTTTGACTACTACTAACTTTTCATTACAGTTCAACAATTAATTACCTAATTCATATAAACTTCAAAATTGGTTGTCTGATGAAAAGGTATACTGTTATTTACATGAGAGTAGTGCTAATAATATAGGAAACCCATGTATTTTTCAGAATAAATGAAAAAAGAAAGGTTCACAGTTTAAAAAACAAGCCTTTGTAGTCTGGGGAGTGAACATGGGTTTGGGTTGTCAACTTTGACCTTGCCATCTGATCGTTTCTGGTAGCAACTGCCCCAGAAAGGCAATGCTTTCAAGCTTGATCCCTCATGTGACAGACACATTTTGAACCTAGACAAATCCATGTGGTATCAGCTGGACGAAAATATACTTCCGTTTTCATAAAACTTCTTCTGCCTTATAAATTTATTTTGGATTTAATTTACCACCATTCGTGTTTCACACCACTATAATGCCTTTTTCAAGTATCCAAGCCCAAATTTTGCCAGCAAGGCTTGTATGCATGCTTAATAAGTTTACATGTAAAAACCAGAGATGCATTTATAGTACTTACATATGCATCACTGGTCTTTAATCAGCTGACTGATCTGAATATTAGGCAGTTGATGGACACATTTTGTTTTTGTGCAGCTATCTTGTCTGGTCTTTATACAACAGATTGGTGCAAGAAAAATTTTTATTTTGAGAGTCGGGACCACTTTAAACCAGTGACCATATTCTTGGTGTTGGTTCAGATACATTTCTGGATGAAGTTACAGACTATATAGGATGTGTATTTTGAACTCCAACAATATATATTCCTAGTCAAGCCTCTGTGGATAAATACATAACTTCATGAACAGCACTGCACCAGGAGTAATGATACTGTAAGCCCTTAGTGACAGCAACCCGCATGAATTTTTTTTTAATGGATAAAGCACAATGTTCCAGCAATTTATCACAGAGCTGTAATCTTTTCCTAAGAATTTTCACTGCAATGATCGACTGTTTCTGCTTGAGGAAATTCCCAAACACCACTGATGTTTCACACATAAAAAATAGATTACACAGTTAAGCATACAAACTGGGTGCTAAAAAGTTTGCATGTCACATTTTAATTATGAACTACAAGAAACCTCTATAACTTTGTTTACTTTATTTATGAATGCACTGAAGTGAGGAAAATTTTTTTGATAATAGTGCATTGATCTGAGAAATGCATGAGCAAACATTGTTTTCGAGTTGAGCAAGAAGGATGCTTCAAATGTCCAGTGAAAAGTGGAAGTACAAGTGATACAGAGGAGTTTGGATTCACTGGTGAATTAATACATGGGTAATGCACTTTGCCTACATGTAAAGGTTCAATATGATGTAAAATAATCAAATTGAAGATTTTGCTTTGTAAGAAAAATTAACAAAACTCCTTTGCCCCCCCTCCCCCCTCTATCAGGGATGATGTCAAACAATACCAGTAAACTGTGTGAATAAGGACATAAAATACTTCTGGTATGGCTGTAAAAGTATCCTCTAGTACAGTTTATATGATCAGAACAAATGTTGCCATTCCCTTTGTATTGAATTATCGGCAACTAGGGTCAGCTACAAACACTGCTTAAAAAGTGGCTCCATCGAAGAGCAAGCCCAATGGGAGAAGAAAATAAAAAGAATTGAGAACAAATGGCTGACAGCTTGTTTTACACATCACACACAAAGAAAGCAAAATAATTTGTAAAGCGTTTTTTTTTCCTCCACAATTCATGACAAAGACCTGGAAACATGACCCACCCACACTGCCAGTTTGTTTGATGGTATATATTGCAAAACAACGCACAGTTAAACAAAGCATCTCCACATTTAATTTAATATAAGTAATATTATTCATGAAGCCACTGGCTTACATTAATGGTGGCATCAAGGACAAAGCTAGCATTTATTAATAGTCTCAATGGTCTGGTGTGATGAAGACTTTGTAAAACTATGTAAATGTAAATAAGATAGGTGTAGCAATTGTGCTCTAAGTACACAGCATAGAAAAAATGCGAGATTTAATCACATTTCGTACAGTATTCACACGTCGAAATACATTGTTTTTGTTTGTACAATGTTGATGTTTACGAGCTCATGATAACTACATTATGGTTGATTGATTGATATGTGGGGTTTAACATCCCAAAACCACCATATGATTATGAGAGACGCTGTAGTGGAGGGCTCCGGAAATTTTGACCACCTGGGGTTCTTTACTGTGCACCCAAATCTGAGCACATGGGCCTACAACATTTCCGCCTCCATCGGAAATGCAGCCCCCGCAGCCGGGATTTGATCCCGCGACCTGGGGGTCAGAAGCCGAATACCTTAGCCACTAGACCACTGCGGCGGGGCATATGTAACTCCATCTTGTTGCTGCAAACCTGGCTTCTAGGGGTAGTTGACTCTAATATAAGTGTTCAAGTTAAAATTACACTGATATGACACAAACAGTACATGCAAGAAATGAAAGTATGTGCATTATTACTTAGCTCTAAATTTCACGTTGAGAAAGTACGGTACAAGCAAGACATGTAATGTGGCAAATACTATTAAAATTGCTCTGCAAGTGAACTAAATAAAAATATGGCATAGGTTGTTGATAAAAGTTAGGGGGCATTTTTCGAAACAAGAGAAAAATTGTCTGAGCCACTAGTGACAAAACAAGAAAACGGTTGCTTGCCTTCGATACATATGCCGTTTCAAAAATTTAGCGAGAGGGCTACGAGACCCCCCTTGTCCCCGACATTACGCACTGGTAACTCAAGAAAAAGTTTAAGCTCCTCCCACAGAACCACATGACTTCCATTCATCTGTGCGAGGTGTGCCAGGTGGTTTTCGTTAGAAGCATAACTACTTTTTTTTTCTGCTGATCAGGCATATTGTGTAATAAAAGAATGTTTCATCTGTTTAAAATACTGCATTAGGCTGAGTGGCGATGTCAGAAGCTATAATAAAATGTGCAGGAATGTTCACGTTTTTGGTACAAAACTAGCAACAAAAATGTGTACTTGTATGGTAGAATCAATAATATTGTAGCAGTGTTGCCACAGCTTGCGGTATCAAGACACTCGAGATGTGCACCACTGTGGTAATGAACAATGTAGATGGGATCAAGAATACGATCTGGATCAGGTTCTAACCGCGATCAAAAGTGCCAGATCAAAAGTAACCCCAAACGCAGGTATGTTTATCGTCACGGAAATGAGCACTAAAGCGTTTATACGGAACGTCTATGCAAATTATCTCTGGAGAGGATAGCAAGCTGTGGCAGAGCTTGTTTTTCTGTTGCACCGGTGTTACTCACACGCGCACTTTTGATCGCCATCGCACCCGATTGTGATTGAATCAAATCGCGATTTCACCGACGTCAACGCCAAACGTGATCCAGATTAGTTTAGACCGGGCAGCATAAATCAATGTTTACCGTGATGAAAAGTACCCATGCGACATCGGTAGCTCATGAAGTAAACCACTGCCTTATGATCTGTCACACTTCCGCAATTCTAGCAGCCTTAAAAAGAAAAAAAAAAGTTTTCTACAATGATTGTTGTCATCGGATAATGTGGTAGAGGCTTTTAAACACGCAGCGATCAAATCCTATTCTTTGCAGCTACATGCAGCTAAATTACTATTTCACATGCCTGACATGCAAACAATTATTTGTTTACGGTTAATACAAAATATGCATAAATCTGTAGCTACAGTGCATGATTTCGGCGTTCCATATCTGCTTTAACACTGTCGATACATATTTATCACAGCTTGGGCCGTTTCACAAGTAATTCAGCTCCTAAACCATCGATGCACGCTTATTATCCAAATTACCCAATTATTTCCGTACGTATCCCATCAATTACAAATCTTGCGCGAGGCATTAGTTTCAAACGACACGTAAATTTATGTTCCCAAAAGTGGTCACTAATGGTCGTCATTCGCGTCATGATAAAACTGCGGAAGCAACGAAAGTCAATTAACTCACGTAAGAACTGCTTTTAACGGTGGACCAAATTGTGGAGCAAGTGCGAACCGTTCACAGGCTAAAGGGTAGTTTCTGCCTAAACGGGATGCACACACAGGAACAGACGTGCTGTCGCCTACGAGCTAAATGGCCTCCTCACTACCGTTTCTCTTTCAACGTAACGAAAAGCCAACGCGTTTCCTGCGTACTCGCGATACAAGCTTTCTTTTCGCGATAGTACGACCTACCCCAAGAGAGCGTCTACAAAATCTCAATGTTTCCACATATGGCACGTCACACTTTCTGCAAAACGGCACAAAAAGGCATTTAAGAGCAGCTCCCCGTCGCAGATTATCTCCGTCTCTTGAGCTTCACATTTCCATCACTTGTCAAGGCCACAAGTGGGAGCTCCTTTTCTTTAAGACGTGGCTGCATTCGTGCACAAAAGTAGTCGTTACTATACTTACACGCGCACACTGCAAAAATATTGAAGACAGCACACTTGGAGACGACTATGCGCACAATTCACAGCAATTCAACTTTAGTAGGGGCAAAATAACGGTCAGTAAACGTTGACTAGCACAGAAAGCGCGCCGGCGTCCGCACCCGATCGCTGTAGTCGTGGGCTGGGTCGCTGCGATTGGTTTTCACAGCAATCGCGTTGCGGCAGCTCCGCCTCCGCTGCATGACACGAGAGTGTGGCGCTCTGTCAAGAGATGGCGCTCAATTTTATAGTCAGCCCTGTGAATACATTGCACAGCACTTCTCCCGGATTTTCGGGACCTCAGACTTGAATACAGACACCACCCTTAGTAAAGAGGAGGCAATCAGTCCTAATACCGAACGCCCCCCAAGCCAAACAGAACCACCCTGGGCCCTCTCAAGGTTCACAGTTGAACGGGCGTTGAAGCGGATTAGGGCTGGAACGGCCACTGGTCTGGACGGCATGCCAGCGCGCGTACTAAAGTGCTTGGGAGAAGACTCGAGGGAACAGCTCGCAGAGATCCTCACGGCCATCATCGAAGGCGAGCCCATCCCTAAAGAATGGCATGAAGGGAAGGTGATTCTTATCCCCAAAAGGGGCGGAGATGCGAGGAACATAGAGGACTACAGACCAATAACGGTCACCAGTGTTATGTATCGCTTGTTCGCGGGGGTCATCAAAGCATGGATGAGTGGCTGGGCGGAAACCAAGGGACTACTGACCGAGCTTCAGAATGGCTTCAGGCCAGGCAGACGTCTGGATGACAATCTGTTCGTCGTCACACAGTGTGCAGAAATAGCTCGCAGGGAAGGGAGAACGCTGTTGTGCTGCTTCCTCGATGTTGAAAAAGCGTACGATAGCGTGCCGCACGGTCCTCTCTTTGCATGCCTGTCTGACCTTGGACTGCCCCGGCTGCTAATCTCCACTATACAACGGTTGTACAGTGACAATGTAGTGAGTGTGCAGTTGGGTGCCATAACTACTGGCCCAATTCATGTAAATAAGGGTCTGAGGCAGGGCTGCCCACTGTCACCATTGCTGTACATTCTATACGCATCCAGAATAGAGCGGGCCTTGTTGAACTCCAACCTCGGATTCAGCATGCGTTTCAGCACAACTAGTGCTGAAGAGAACTTCCACCTGCCTGGTTTGGCATTTGCAGATGATCTGGTGGTTATGGCAGAGAGTAACCAGGAGTTGCAATCCCTCCTCGACATCTGCCAGACGGAACTCGCGAGTCTTGGACTTCGATTCAACACTAAGAAATCGGCGGTTGTCCGTCTAACTGGAGGGAGTACCGATGCAGCAGCGTTGACTTTAGGAGGAGAACTGCTGGCCACACGCAACGATTACAGATACCTGGGCGTCACCCTGTGTGTGGATGCAGCAAAATATAGTCTACACGAGAGTGTGATTCGACAGACTGCGTTGCAGGCTCAACGAATCCTTCGTCGCCGATGCCTATGGGGTTGCAACCGATTTCAGATGATCCGGGACCTGTGGAAGATGGTTCACGTGCCGGGCCTGACGTTTGGAAACGCGGTAGTGTGCATATCGCCAACGACACGGGAGTGGTTGGAGCGTCAGCAGAGAGAGGTCGGCCGTGCAGCGCTCGGTTGCCATTATCGAGTGGCCAACGAGGCGATTCAGGGAGACGTCGGATGGTCCAGCTTTGAAGCTCGGGAAGCCGCCAGCAAGATTGCCTATCGGGGTCGTCTCACGCTCATGCGACGCACTCGATGGGCGCGCCGCGTGTTCGAGTACCTTTCGGCAACATGCATGAGGACTGACTGGACACGACGACTCTACCAGCTGGAGAAGAAGTATGGCTTCTTTGCAGAAGCCAGTCCTATTGAAACAGCAGCCAAGTGGACGGTCGAGGTCCGCATGCGAGTCAGAGAAGCAGAAGAAACCCGATGGCGAGAAGCTATGGAGGCGAAGTCCACTCTCGAGTGCTACAGGAAACACCAGGACAGCATCTGTGGGTCGCGCCTCTATGACAATAGCATTGGCAGCAGCCTCCTGTTCGAGGCGAGAGCTGGGGCTCTTCGCACTCTGGAGTACCGCAGAAAGTTTGATGCCACTGTGGTCAGCAACCTGTGCAGAGTTTGCGGCGTAGCGAGTGAGACACAGGAGCATCTCGTCCTTCACTGCAGGAGTCTCCCAACTTCTCAGGTGGAGGGTGCAACCCTCCCACAGGCGCTCGGGTTTCAAAGGCTTGATGAAGATGGAAGCAGCGACAATGGGGGGGGACGGTACGCGGTCGCAGCCACGAAAAGGCGGCTTACTGAGTGGTGGGCAACTATACGGCGGACTTAGGACCTAGACCACTGTGTGCGCGTCTCTTGCCTGTGTCGTTCAAGAGTGTGGATCCTTTTCTTGGTCCTTTCTTTTTTCTCTGTGCTTTTTGTTTTTCTTTTCCCACTTTTCTTTTTGAGGCCAGGACACTGAGTGTGTTCCCCCGTTGCAAAGGGGCCGGCCGCCATCACATCATCATCATCATCATCAGGAGCGCGGCCACTGGATGAAAGAGCTCATGAGTGCGGTTTTTCATCCAGCGGCCGTGTTAAAAATCACTGCATGTGCTCCCTACGGGAGCAGAGTAGCGCATAGGTACAGTGGCTAGAATATTCTAGCCACTGTAGCATAGGTACAGTGTACTAGAATACTTTCCAGCTGCAGTGGTGGCACTGCCACCGACCACTCTTGAAAAACTCGCCCTGACTCTTCTTTGCAGCGTACGTGGCACACGAGAATGCAATGCGTGTTGGATTCGCGGCTGCTGTTTTAACACTATTGTGGCTGGGTTTTCAATTATTCTTCGCGTATTCTATAACCGCATTGGTATGTTGAGCTGTAAGTATGATTTCGCGTCCCTCAGCAAAAGAAAAGCTGGTAGCAGTGGAAGGCTAGTCGATGCTCTGTATTTTTCCCCTTAGCGCAGCATTCATGCAATGTGGCTATTACGGGAGTATTAAAATTTTCGAAGCAAATGTTATTCGTGAAATCAAATACCCGCGGGATAACCGCGATAATGAAAAACGTATGCAATGTCAACTATAAGTGGCACGTGCACAAAACTCGGGCACGATAATTTTTAAAACCCATGATACGTACGAGAAAAAAAGACTTCGAAAGTGCTCTCACTGTCCCACTCAATTTTATTGCTCGTATTTTTCACTTGCACAAAAGTTTTTCGTGCACCTTCAATGCACAAAGTATACGGTGTAGAAGTACAGCTAAGTTAGTCTGCTTAGCTTGAGGTGTTGCGCTGCCTTTCTCTTTGACAGCACGTTTGCCTTGTTCAAGCCTTTGATAAAAAAAAAAAAAGAAGTCGAGTGGTGACATAAAAGCTGACTATGCGAGGAGTGAGACTCTCGGCGTGAGCGCTGCATCCCACCTTCAAAAGAGCGGCACAATGAATCATGTGCTGGATGTCCATTACGCTCTCCCGGTGAACTTTTCGTGCACTAAAACAACTTGTGAAAATATCTTCAAGTCTTGAGATAAAGCGGAAGAGTTCACCCTACGGGTAGAGCAAACCACCTTGACCACTGTGGCACACAAATTATGCCGTATGCAAACGGCGCCCTTCTTTCGTTGGGAGAAGAAGGCTGTCATTACATGCAGACACTTGGTGGGAAGCACGCACTTTCTCGCCACATATCCGGAAATGTAACAAGTCAGCCTTGAGTAGCTTCTCTAGACGTGGTACTCATGTTCCCCAGCTTCACTTTCACATGACCCTGAAGGTCCCACCCGCTTGCTTTTCCGCGTAAAGCTTCATTTAGTCAATCAGCTGTTGCTTTGGAGTTTCTTCCCTGTCCCCAACATCAAGAAGAGAACTGATGACATCTCCCTCTGCATTCCCGCCTGCAACACTGAGTGCCAAATTAAAGAAAGTGAGACAGAGAGCAGGAACTGCTGTGGCGTTGGATGTGGGTTGCAGCCGGACGAAAGTCTCACGATCCCGAAAAAGTTTTCCACTTTATCTTGGTTCAGCCTGGGTATCAACAAGTATACAGCTAAACCCATATTTCTCACGCAAATAGCGTACGAGCTCTATACAGTACTTGTACTTTACTCGCTGAGAAACTTCTCCATAATCAGCATGAACTTCGCTTGGAGAGTTGGGTATGAGAGCCTCGGCTGTGTACCTTGCTGTCATCACGGCAATCAGTGACTTCATTCTCAAGAAGAATTCCTCTGTCGCATAAATTTTACCACAGATCCTTTCCAAATAAGTACGGTAAATAAAAATGCTACCAAAGGACCTTGCCCGAACAACTGGAATGCATACCTTTCCCGCATTTTTTCGAAATTGTTGGGGCTTATGTGGACGCTGCTAATCCCAGACATTGCCTTCATTATGACTGCATTAATGTCCAATTTGAGAGCTTCTCTTGCAAATTTCATCGAAACTTCGCCATCAGGGGGGTCAAAAGTTGTAGTAAGGAGCCTGTTTAGAACAATCTTGACTAAATGAGAAAAATCTGAAAAAAAGTGTAGGAACCATTAGCTGTCACCAGGATGTGGTTTTTCGCACGCCACTTTCTTTTAAACAAGCGCTAATGTTAAAGGAGCTCCACATTTTCCGGTTCCAAACTGCTGCATCACATGTTATGTAGTCAACAATGAGGCCGGCTCTTTCTGTTAGAACTGTGGACTCTAAAATAATTTTGGCCAACAGGTCCTTTTTCACGTTCTCGTTGCTCCGGAAAACACCAATCACTTGTGTCCAGCTGCCAACCAACGGCACAAAAATCACGACGAGGCCATGATTGCATAGCAATGTTCTGTCGTTTTCGAGCGTATACGGTCCGAGGTCCACAAAGCCTTAAATTTTCGCACCTGTAATCACAGATAAATGTTCAACCTGTTTGATTTTATCGATTATTAATCCACCATGTTGGTGAAACAAATCCAAATGG